ATGGGTAGGGAGGGGATGTCGGAGCTTGGCCTAGACTAGGAGTAAGCGTGCGTGCGTACTATCGGTGTGTACCGGAGCAGCGAGACCATCCCTCTCCGTACCCACTCACCCGTTACAGGTGTGCAAACGCTTAATGTACATATGCTACCCGACAACTGTTAACGCTCTTCTGGGAGAAACCCCACTAAATCCTGCTGCCGATTATGTACAGTTTAATCGATTTAAGGAAAATATTATATGGTCTCGTCTTGTTAGGGTCACCATTGCCAAGACACTGGTCGACTAACAACTCCCATATATATGATCAACCGGTATTAAATGACGAGTTCTGTAGCCTTATAAGAGCCGCCATACTGTCAAGGGTGTGATCAAATACGTCAATTCTTATAAATTAGGTTGACCAATATTGCAGGGTAACTAACATGTCGTTAGAACTGCAGACCGATTATGTTACCTAGGTTAACTAATGACCACTTATTGGGGACCCCTATCACTTGTGAAGCACTGCTTTGCCCCACCACCACAAACACCAACCTGGAACACGACGATAAACTTAACACCAAAAAGCACGCACACACCTACATGTGCATTCATTCACTTAGAAACTTATAAGGGAGATTATACACGTGTGCTCGCTAACACACACACACACACACACCCCCACCAGATCTTGTGACTAAAGTCGTTATTTGGATTATAATGTGGAGTGGGGGGGGGAAATAATAAGATAAGTATATACTGTACACTTTGTAATGTATATAGCGAAGAAAGAAATCAGGAGAATGTGCCAGTTTTAAGTCCAGGAACAGATAACGGAAATATGATGATGCGTGCGTTTAGGCCCAATAGTGGCCGTTTCGAACCAGAAAAAATCATGCATCGATAGTAGTAACGAGTAATACTGTAATGTTGTAAGTATCCTATGTCGAGGTGAGAACGTGGTGAGAGGGGGAGACGTTCTGATGAGTGAAGTCTGGGGAAGAGCACAAGTGTTCTGGGGTTGTTGCCTCTCGCAATAACCGTGGGCGTCACCACCACTATAAGCACCGTCTGTGATGCGGAACGCGTGAATTGTTGTAACACTTACCATGAATCCGGCTCTACTTTTATTCTTCATGCAGGAACTTCATATTATAAACAGTGTTGTGTTCTAGGCTGTACGGAGTGGACGGATGTTTGGCCCATATACGTTCTAACTTTGTTATGATAGGTAAAATGAACATCATTACGTCTTAAGCTGATAAAATAAACATTACACCGTAAGCCGAAATATTCTTGCCGAATATTGTTTGGTTGTCAGATGGTGATACTAGTCACTGAATAGTTTTATGTACGAAAGCGCTCTGTAGCTGCTTACGTCCTGTGACGTTCAGACTAATTAATGACTTTGATTAGAAAGTAAATGATCTACTGTTCTTCTTCCCCTACTCCTTTACATACATCTACAAGTAGTATGAGTTTTGTATTTTAAGAACAACAATTACAATATCACTGAATTTCATCACTGGTGGCAAGGCTCAACCCACACATTACCATGACCAGTCTTACCTCACCTAGCCATGGAACTCAACACCTCATCAGGATAATGCCTCGAGAGTAACACCCTGTAAATATAATTGAATTGGCAGGGGAGGCCAAGACCTGGAAAGTGAATGGAATTAGAGGAAATTGATGGAAGCAAAGGAATTTACAGTTGGGTAAAAATTTTCCCAAACCATGTAGGTTGACAATTGGAATATATGTTTGAGCTGATGATGTATTGTTCACCGGTCGTTGCGATGATGGATATTTTTTTAGTGAAAACTTGTGCTATGTATAGCATATGTTAGTTCGGGAATGTTTTGGAAGGCGGTGCTGTAATTAGACGCCACTCTGGTTCAACGCCTGGAATCCAACGGTGCTGTCGTAAACCATAACGCTAGGCTGGTTGTTGGTGTTGTGTGAGGAAATTGCTCCCCACAAATTATGCTTGGATTATTTATTTATTTATTTGTTTTACATTTGGACATATTACTCTAGTAAATGGTAAAAGGCAAAACTGCACTATAATAATTTAAAGTACCGGTACTTGTGTACATTATTCTTTTTAGGGTGTGCTTTATTGAACACTACAGTACTGTACAGTGTATTTCGTATTAATATTTACTGTTATTATACTGACATTAGATAGCCTAGCATGAAAATAAATTTTGATAACGGTACTAGTGTTACAAACTGGATGTATTACACATACAATATAACACAACATATATTGTAGTATATTTAATTTAATGTTCAGTACATATGTGCTTAACATATAATTACCTGAAAAAATAATGTGAATATTTCAAGTTTGTACACTTTTCTAATGTGTTTCTTTATTTTTCTAGGGTCTGAGACAGGAAGATGACGACAGATATCAGTGTGGGGGTCCGATGGGACCCCCTCAAGCAGGAGGAAGTGATTGAGGACTTCGACTACGATGGTGGGAACTCCTCCTCCAGGTTGTTCGAGCGATCTAGGATCAAGGCTCTAGCAGGTGAATACTTTAATAAACCATTTGATGTTATTGCTATTCTGAACCACTTGAATGAGTACTAGTACTCTGTTTTGTGTGCCATATGTTATATGGTATTTGATCAAGGAAGAATTGCTGTAAATTACCTGACAGGTTTTATTCATATTTCAGTCTTAAGTAAAGTCCTATTGTGTCATGCATGGTAGACCAAACATGAATATAATGATGAGTGTAAAGCTTTTCCATTTTAGAGATGTTTCTTACTCATTATGAAAAAAAAAACACACACACACACACACACACACACACACACACATATATATATATATATATATATATATATATATATATATATATATATATATATATATATATATATATATATAATAAACAAGGAAGAAAACACGAAGTTCCCAAAGCTTTGTATTACAACTTCAGGGGTGAGTACAGACTAAAAGTACAAAACAAAGTGTATATATACAGATTAGTAGGGTCATTACCTAATACCTGACCATTGTGGACCTGGTCTCACCCTCCTCTGTATATATACACAGTTAACCATGTGCACCTACAGTGATTTCTTGCATATATATATATATATATATATATATATATATATATATATATATATATATATATATATATATATATATATATATATATATATATATATATATATATATATATATATATATATATATATATATATATATATATATAAGATCTTGACACCAATTTATATTGCTGTAAGGTGTATTAATTTATAATTATAGGCTTTTTTGTATTATTTTCTTACAGTACTACATTTGCATACTGTATACAGTACAGTATGCAGATACTGTATTTTCCAATATACAAAGAGGGTTGCATTCTTGTAAATCCATTTATCAAGTAAAAAATCATGTATCGAATGGTAGAGGCATCCGGGGAGGAGAAATGTTGGTCAACTGGTGGGACTTTAACACAAATATCACCATTATACCTCAGGCAAAAGTAATAATAAAGCACTGTATAAATACATTGAAAGTGGTAAACATTGCAGCAGAATGTAAATGCGTGTCTGCACGTACTAGGTGCCATCTTTGACAGTACGTCTAAAAGTATGGATTCTTTAATGAGAAAATGTGGTTTGAAGTTTGAATGTTATTTGTTAAAGCAAACGTTTGCCTTCATATAAAGAGAACGAGATGTTAAAATATAACTCGTTATTTTTTTATATTATTGTGCATCATGTATCTTTTGTGTGGGATTGATCAAGGAATACAATAATCTCAGAGAGGATATAATAGAAAAATTGACACAAGACACGTATAAAAGGTAAGAAAAAGGAATCCTACATCAGTAGGTGAGGGATGTTTGTCCCCTTGTGTAGGATCAACTGTATAATATACAGTACAGTACATCCTGTATTCACTTCTCTCTCACAATGTCTCAGTACCACCCATCTGAAATCCTACCTCTCTGGATTCTATGCCTAGCTTTTATCCAACACACAGAGTTCATTAACATAACTTCCACAAATGATCTAGATTCTAGAAGCGTCCAATGGTTGTTACTTGATATTTGAAGTTCATAAACGTCACATCCCAGTGAAGGAGGTGGGCAACATTTTTTTTTTTACAAATTGAGCCATTGTAATTAATTTTGCATACCAAATTAGTTTTTAACCCACATATACAAAATAACTGCACAACACACTGGGAACCCACAGTCATTCTTCAAGCCATGTCTAACACCTCATGGCTTCTTTGGTAGAAATGGAGTACCTGTAGTTTCTATGTTGTTTACTACAGTACTGTACTTTTATTTTGTATAACACCTATTGATTATCATCATTTTATGCCACTTTCATCATAATTGCTTTATGGCATTTTCCACTCTGAGTGGGTTAGCTGCAGTTACCTGATGGCAGCTCTCCATGCTGCACGGTCTCTTGCAGTCTCCCTTGTCAGGTTCCTAACTACTGTAATGTAATTTCTTAAAATCTCTCTTCAGGTCATTATTCTTTAATCATCATTATTCATCACTTAAAACAGCACTGCAACTGGGAATGATTAAAGTAAATTTATTGTACAGTACAGGGACTGTACTGTATATCAAAATGTAATCTTAACAGTTAAGATTGGGAATGGCTTTTCAATTGGATAAGAGGTACTGCAGTCATAATGACGATACTGGTGTGTTGTGTTATTGTGAAATATATTTATTTTATGTCTAGTCAATACATTTCTAAAGTTTTATTACAAATAGAGTAGCTATGTCTAATTTTAACATGACTTTAGTAGTTTTTTGTGAAGTGACTGGATGCTCCGGAGAGTTCTTGTACACGTACATGTATGAAGTTATGGCAACTTCATATTGATAAGGGGAATTAGGTAGCCTACCCCTCCCTAACCTACCACTGGCAGTATTGGTTACTTCTGCCACAAGTGACTCTGTAGTGAAATTTATAAAGTAAACCTTACTCGTTAAGATCTTTTTTTTTTTAGAGAAAGAGTGGTGTTATCAGTGTGAACATCCTGTCCCGGGTATTCTGTCCTGGGTTGTCAGTGAGTGTTGGTTAACCAGGTGTGGTGGATGGCTGTTTACTGGCATGAACAAGTCGCAGTAAATAATAAGTGTTAAGTGAAGAACTATTGCTATAAGCAAGTCTTGGATATAATACAATGGAAGAAAAAACTCTTACTACGGAGACGGTTGACTTACCGGCAGAGTGCAGCAACAGTGACCCAACTTCTCCGCAGCAAACAAGGGAACAAACCCAGGATGATAAACAGGACAACCAAGTGGGGTTGAGTGAGGAATGGAAGGATTCTCCCAGTGATGCTTGGAAACATTCCCTTAGTGATTTTGAGAGACAAATCCTTGCAATGCAAGCTACAGATGGAACTAGTGAACATATGGTAGCTGTTGGGGCAGAATATAATGAAAACACTGTTGTAGTCACAAAAGAGGTTAAATCTGATGCCATACAAAGTCATACATTTGTGGATGTGAAAAGCAACCAACTTGAATCACAAAGCAGCTTAGCTCAAGACCCAACTAATGAACCAACTCAACTTCTCAGCAACACAGAACTGTATGCATATAATGACAGCACCAGTGAATACTCTGAACATTCAGAAGACACAAATAGTATTTCTGGTATAATGAGTGATAGAGAGACCGTATTGAGGGAATCTGCTTCGCCAAGTCATAAATATATGCTTGACATGGATACTGCATCCAGCATTAAAGATTGCAAAGAGACAAATTTTGAGATTTCTCACTGGGGCACTCGGTCAGTCCGCCGTGTAAAAATTAAAAAGCAGACAGTTTCAAGAACATTAAGCTTAGACCCCGGTATACAGAAGCAGTACTCAGGTTTCATGGAACATCACATTAAACTGCTCAAAGGTAATCACTTATTTTCTTATATGTAACTCAAGATTAGTAGATCAATGAGCCAAGTTGATTAAGATACAAAAATTGGTTTACAGTACAGTATTTTGGTAGTACTGTACTGTACTATATAGGTCTCATGATTGATATAGTCTTTGTTCATTCTTGTGTTTGTATTTCCATTAACGCTGTGTATTACATTTAGAATTGTTTATCTGTATACCGTATCCCCCTTTTTTAATTGAATAGGTAATTGTGGTTAACACAGAAAATAGAAAGCAAAAGTTGCTACTTCTGCTTTAAACTGAACTTGTTTGAAAATTGTTTAATATACATTAAGCTCTTAAGAGGAACACTCTGGTTGATGAACAGGTTTGGGATCAAAGGACCAGTTTGTAAGGCTGCTGTTTGGAACTCAAATGCTGATTCCCCATATGAACCATATACTTGTATTTATATGGGTCTAGGTTTTAAACTGCCTCACAAACCCCCAATTTTGCGAAGATTTCACCTTCACTATTACCGGTATATAATATGAACACTACAGCTGTGTGAGGGTGGTTAAATTAAATTAAATTTCAATATTTCCCCACTAACTCGACAAGTACTGTAATTATGATCACCCGGTGATTGCTGGCCAATATAAATACAGTACTGTAATGTTGGTCACCCATCTACTATGCACTGACCAGTTCATTACTACAGTATAAGCACCCAGATATGGAACATTGTTGTTTTGTTTTACATTGGTATGTGTGTGAATATTTACTGTACCCTCTGTATTGCTAATTAATGTACTATTTATGGTACAGTATAATAATGGTTGCTCCTCGTGTTCAAGGATGGCCTGCCCTAGGGCCACATGGGCATGAGTTTGTTTAAGGTGTAGAATGAGTTGCCAACGCTACAACCACACCCTAATTTAACAAGTTGTATAACCCAATGTTAAGGAAAAATGTGAGAAGACTATAGACACTTGCCCACTGCACAGGCTAACCATTACCCTGGAACAAGATCAGCATATCAATTGGCATCCAAGTTTCCAATTACTGCTGGTTAGACAAAGGCAAATGGCATAGAAAACTTGCCCATGTTTCACCCTGTCCGGAATCAAATCCAGGTAAACTCGCTTGTGAGGCAAGCATGTTGACCATTAACACCACAGGTCGCCTTATTGTCATACACTGTATTGTTATACGAGTATGTAGGCTACTTAGAAAACTTGTGTTATCTGTGCATTCCTTTCAAAATAATAATATTGGGTGGTGTTCCCCTGTACTGACTTAAAATAAACAACATTGGGCTAATCATATAAATTAATGTTGTGGTGGAGTCCCTCCCTCCAGTGGGCTTGTTATAATGTTCAGGTGGTTTGAGGCTTGGTACTGGAACTCTAATATTGGTTTTGTTGGACAAGGGAATATGAAGTTTCTCATGCTTGACTGGCTTTTGGATCTGAGGACCAAATTTCGTTTGCAAGTACAATACTGCTCCATTTAGTCCTACCCACGTACCTTGTACACTAAGGGCCAGAGTTCTACTCTTGTACGAGAAAGGGACTAGTCTTTCCCACCCCATTTCAGGCAATTTGGAGCAGCCATGAGCCATATTATTATATCATATGTCACCAGTAGTACTAAATCACCCTCAAAATTTAATAGTTGCTCAGTTACCTTACAAATGCCTTGGTGGAAGGATGTTTATCAGAGCGTACATCTAACAACCTTGAGACTGAGACCTGCACATCAGGTAGACACACATGTACTGGGTAAATGTAAACATAAATGTATGGTTATATGGGAAAAAATAGACACAGTTTTGATGGAAAGTACAATAGTGATATCGAAGAATATAATAGCATGTAAACAACCTGTAAGCACAGGGAGATGCTGGGAAGAGATGCTCCAAGTTATTAGACAGCTAAGGAAACTTTAAGGGACAGCATGCTAACCGAAAAATTTTCTTTCGTGTTTTATGACTTTTAATCTCTGGCAGACATATCTGGCAACAGCTTCAGGATGGAGAGTCACACTGTTCTGGACATATCCCATAAGTGTTGCGATATATTTCTTGTGGGCCCAATTTACATTTTCCATGTTTTGTATTTGTTGAGCATACAGTATTTGTGAAGGTGTCTGGCCAAGTAAAGACACACCACATCCGCTCATGTGCAGCCCCCCACACAGAAGGATATAGATTCCATTATACAGTACGTATTTGATTCTGGAGACAAGAATGATCCTCCCATGCATAGTGATAGTGATATGCTGTATGTGAAGATAGTGACTTTCCTCAAGATTTGACTAAGGAATTTAGTGAATTTTATTGGTGAGGGTGAGGAATATTCTGTTGGCAGTGAAGTAGCTTTCACAAGCCATCAGTCATTTCATGAGGCTTCCACATGGGATTGGAGTGATTATAATCACTCCAATCCCATTATTGGTTTAAACCCTCGACCCTTGGACTTTAATGTTGTAGATGAGGAGTTTATGGTAAGATTAAATCCACCCTCCCTCAATGTTGCCTCGTCCATTCAGAGCAATGACCATGAGTTGCCATCCTCCTCCTCAAAGAGTTAACATTATGTTAAATTAATTAATACGGTTTATTCACTTTTTTCTTAAAAAATGGACTGAGCTTATGACTGAGAGGGTTAAACAGTGTACTGTAGTTGCAAGAGGAAGGTATTAAGTACGAATGGTTTAATTAGTGGCATCCATTAAAGTCAAGGATGGGCTTCTAACCCATAGACTTAATGGGTACAATACAGTACAGGAGTCGTCTTTACTGAAATATTATTTATCTTTCAGATGAGCGTGAAAGTGTACAGAAGAAGACTTTCATGAAATGGGTTAATTCTCACCTGGTGCGCGTGAGTGCCCGTATTGGAGACCTCTATGTTGATCTGCGAGACGGAAAGCAACTCATCAAGCTGCTGGAGATCCTGTCTGGAGAGCGACTAGTGAGTGCTGTTGATCATAGTGTTTCATGGCTTAAGCACATGACTGTTTATAAATTGTTTCTAAATTAACAAACTGATACCTTAATTGAATACAGTGCATCCCTGACCTTTTACCTCAACTGTCACGACTATAGGATAATTACTAGAAGCCTAAACAAAAAAACATCAACATATATACAGTACTTAAATTACGCTTTGTTTCACGCCTCAACAAGTTTAAATAGATTTTATACAATCATTACCCAATACATTTTACATTGCAAGATATAATGCAGTAAATGTATAATTTTTTAACTTGCATGTTTGTTACCGGTAAATTAATGACAAACTTTGTGTTACATACAATATAAGTATGGATGAGAATAAAGCAAGTGCAGGTTAGGGTGAAGTGGAAGGAAGCAAGAAAAGGCAGGAAAAATAAATACAAATCATAAAGTACTGTACAGTATTAAGAAATAAAGGAACTAGCAGTCTTTGAAGGTTGAAGTGAGAGTTGAAACAGAGGAACTTGCAGAATTATAATTTTTTTTTGTTATTTAGAGAAGCCTTCTTATAATATATTTTTCTGTATAGTGGGAGGAAGCATGTAGTATGTACGTAGCTGCATGTACATTTTTTTTTAAGTTTTGGCTTATTAAATTTATTTAAATTTCTTATCCCCAGCCACGACCCACCAAGGGAAAGATGCGAATTCACTGCTTGGAGAATGTGGACAAGGCATTACAATTCCTACGTGACCAGCGTGTCCACTTGGAGAACATGGGTTCACACGATATTGTGGACGGTAATGCACGACTTACCCTAGGTCTCATCTGGACCATCATCCTTCGCTTCCAGATTCAAGATATTACCATCGAAGAGACTGAGAATCAAGAGACAAAGAGTGCCAAGGATGCTCTCCTTCTTTGGTGTCAGATGAAGACTGCTGGCTATCACAATGTTAACATCAGGAATTTCACTACATCTTGGAGAGATGGTTTAGCTTTTAATGCCATCATTCATAAACACAGGCCAGATTTGGTGCAATATGAGAAGTTGTCTCGTTCAAATCCTATTCACAATCTCAACAACGCCTTCAATGTGGCAGAAAACAAACTGGGACTCACAAAACTTCTGGATGCAGAAGACATTTTTGTGGAACAGCCTGATGAGAAGTCTATTATTACCTATGTTGTCACATACTATCACTACTTCTCTAAGTTGAAGCAGGAGACAGTTCAGGGCAAGCGTATAGGCAAGGTAGTTGGCATTGCTATGGAGAATGATAGAATGATAAGGGAATATGAAGGATTGACCTCAGATCTTCTCAAGTGGATTGAGACCACCATTGAGTCTCTTAATGACAGGGATTTTGCCAATTCCTTGACAGGAGTTCAAACACAGCTGACACAGTTCAACACCTATCGCACTGTAGAAAAACCACCAAAGTTTGTAGAAAAGGGTAACCTTGAGGTGCTGCTTTTTACTTTGCAGTCTAAGATGAGAGCTAACAACCAAAAACCATATTTGCCAAAGGAAGGTAAGATGATCAGTGACATCAACAAAGCCTGGGAACGCTTAGAGAAGGCTGAGCATGAACGGGAATTGGCACTGCGAGAGGAGCTCATTCGTCAAGAGAAATTGGAACAACTAGCTGCTAGGTTTAACCGTAAGGCTGGGATGAGAGAGACATGGTTGTCTGAAAACCAGCGTCTGGTTTCTCAAGACAACTTTGGCTTTGATTTGGCAGCTGTGGAAGCAGCAGCAAAGAAACATGAAGCCATTGAAACTGATATCTTTGCTTATGAGGAACGTGTACAAGCTGTTGTTGCTGTTGCACAAGAATTGGAGACTGAACGTTATCATGATATTGAACGTATCAATGCAAGGAAAGATAATGTATTGCGGCTCTGGAACTATCTGTTAGAGCTTTTGCGTCTTCGTCGCATGAGACTTGAGCTGTCCCTACAGTTGCAACAGAACTTCCAAGAAATGATATACATATTAGATTCTATGGAAGATATGAAGGTGCGACTGTTGAGTGAAGATTATGGAAAACATCTTATGGGTGTAGAGGACTTGTTGCAGAAACACTCACTGCTGGAAGCAGATATCAATGTGCTGGGTGAGCGTGTTAAGACAGTTATTGAGCACTCTCAAAGGTTCCTTGATGATGAACAAGTGGAGGGTTATCGCCCATGTGACCCATCCATTGTTCTGGAACGTGTACAACAGTTGGAAGATGCTTATGGTGAATTGGTGAAGCTTGCAGTAGAACGTCGGCTGCGTCTGGAAGAGTCCCGTAAATTATGGCAGTTCTACTGGGATATGGCAGAAGAAGAAAACTGGATCAAGGAAAAGGAACAGATTCTTTCCACATCAGACATTGGGCATGACCTTATTACTGTTAATCTACTCCTGACTAAGCACAAGACAGTAGAAGAAGAGCTGCTTTCACATGAACCCCAGGTAATGGCTGTCGTTAAAGTTGGTGAAGAACTCATTGCTCAGCAGCATTTTGGCTCAGACAAGATTCAAGAGAGAATTGATGAAATTGTGGGAATGTGGACTAACCTCAAGGATAGATCAGCAAATCGCAAGAAGAGGCTGACTGACGCAGTGGACCTTCATCAGTTCTACACAGAAGCTGATGATGTAGACACATGGATGCTGGATATTCTTCGTTTGGTATCTAGTGAGGATACTGGCCGAGATGAGGCTACTGTGCAGTCTCTTCTCAAGAAGCACAAGGATGTCACTGAAGAATTGAAAAATTATGCCACCACTATTGAAGCTCTTCATCAACAAGCATCAGAACTTAATGAGATTGATAGGGAATCTCCAGATGTGGTTGAGAGATTGGCTTCCATTGACAGGCGGTATAAAGAGCTCTTGGAATTGGCAAAGATGCGTAAACAGAGACTCCTTGATGCCTTGTCGTTGTATAAACTGTTTACAGAGGCAGATGGAGTTGAGCAATGGATAGGAGAAAAAGAACGGATGCTTCAGACTATGGTCCCTGCAAAGGATATTGAAGATTGTGAGATCATGAAACATAGGTATGAAGGATTTGAACAAGAGATGAATGCTAATGCCAGTCGTGTTGCAGTGGTGAATCAGCTGGCACGCCAGCTGTTGCATGTGGAACATCCTAATTCAGAGGATATTGTAGCCCGTCAAAATCAGTTAAATCAACGCTGGGCAGAGCTTCGAGAAAAGGCTGAGGGTAAACGTGAAGAACTTAACTCAGCTCATGGTGTTCAGACATTCCACATTGAATGCCGAGAAACAGTACTCTGGATTGAAGATAAGAAGAGAGTCTTGATGGAGACAGCTGATCTTGGTACAGATCTTAGTGGCATCATGACTCTTCAGCGACGCCTGTCTGGTATGGAACGTGACTTAGCAGCCATTCAGGCAAAGTTGGATTCTCTAGAAAGAGAGGCTGATAAAATCAGTCAAGACCATCCAGATGAAGCTGAGCTTATCCGTGAACGTGTTGAACAAATTCGTGCTGTGTGGGATCAGCTTACTCAGTTGTTGAAGGAACGTGATGCAAAACTGGAGGAAGCTGGTGATCTTCATCGCTTCCTGCGTGATTTGGACCACTTCCAGGCTTGGCTGACCAAGACTATGACTGATGTTGCCTCAGAAGATATTCCTTCTAACCTTGCTGAAGCAGAAAAACTTCTCAGTCAGCACCAGTCTATCCGAGAAGAGATTGATAACTACACTGAAGATTATACCAAGATGATGGAATATGGTGAACGTATAACTGCTGAAGATGTCACTCCAGCAGATGATGCTCAATATATGTTCTTGAGAGAACGTCTGAAAGCCCTCAAGGATGGCTGGGCAGAGTTGCACCAGATGTGGGAAAACAGACAGCAGCTTTTATCACAGTCTCTCAATTTGCAAATGTTCTTACGTGATACCAAACAAGGCGAAGTACTTCTTAGCCAGCAGGAACACTACCTCAGTAAGGACGAGACACCTACTAACTTGGAGCAGGCAGAGAATCTCATTAAGAGACACGAAGCCTTCCTTACTACTATGGAAGCTAATGATGAAAAGATTAATGGCATATGTCAGTTTGCACAGAGGCTTTTGGATGAAGAACATTTTGCAGCTGAAAAAATTCAGAAAAAGGCAGAAAACATTGAAGAACGTCGTCAACAAAATAGAGATAGAGCCATGGAACAGATGGAGCGTTTACGGGACCAACTGCAAGTGCATCAGTTCCTTCAAGATTGTGAAGAACTCAATGACTGGGTACAAGAAAAGCATATCATTGCCCAAGATGAGAGTTATCGCTCAGCCAAGACTGTGCACAGCAAGTGGACACGACATCAGGCCTTTGAAGCAGAGATTGCCAGCAATAAAGACCGGCTAGTACGAGTACAGCAAGCTGGGGAGGAGTTGGTGAAAGAAAAGCCAGAGATGGCAGAACTTATTGGACCCAAGATTTCTGAACTGAACCAACACTTTGATGCCCTGGAAACTACTACAAAAGAAAAGGGTGAACGTCTCTTTGATGCTAATCGACAGGTGCTTTATGAACAGACTTGTGATGATATTGATACATGGATGACTGATTTGGAAAAACAAATTGAGGGTGGAGATACTGGCATGGATCTCACTTCTGTAAATATACTTATGCAGAAACAACAAATGATAGAGACACAAATGGCTGTTAAAGCCAAGCAAGTTGAACAACTAGAAAGTCAAGCTGATTATTTACAACGCATGACACCAGAGAAGACTGAAGAGATCAAATTGATGAAGGCAAAGGTAGAATCCAAATTTGATTCACTCAAGGGTCCTCTAGTAGACCGCAATTGGGCTTTGAGTAAAAAGAAAGAAGCTTACCAGTTCAGGAGGGATGTGGAAGATGAGAAGCTGTGGATTTTAGAAAAGATGCCTCAGGCATCTAGCACAGAATATGGTAACTCTCTCTTCACCGTCCACATGCTGAAGAAGAAGCTACAGAGCCTAAGCACAGAAATTGATAACCATGAAATTCGCATTAATTTGGTATGTGCAAATGGCAGAAAACTAATTGAGGAAGGACACGAGAGTGCAGATGAATTCCACAAGTTATTAGAGGACTTGCTTGATCACTGGGCCAAATTAAAGGATGCTCTTGAACACCGACGATCAAAACTTTTGGTGTCAGAGAAGGCTCAACAATACCTCTTTGATGCAAGTGAAGCAGAGGTCTGGATGAGTGAACAGGAGCTGTACATGATGGTTGAAGACCGTGGTAAAGATGAACTTTCTGCCCAAAACTTAATGAAGAAACACCAGAGCTTAGAGAGTGCTGTATCTGACTATGCTGAAACGATAAGACAACTTGGAGAAACAGCTAGACATCTCATTAATGAAGAACATCCGGATAGGTGAGTAATATTTCAAAAATTTTAAGAATACTTTTAATCTCTTCCTTTAATAGCTAATTGTTAGGTGGCTCCAGTGTCAAGGAGATTTCGGTCTTGTGAATTTGATGAGGTCGAACATGAAATATGAAATTTAAGAAATAGTTACCTGGTACTGCTGTAGAATTTTGTGCATAATCCAATATGTAGTAATGTATAAGACATACATTTCATGGTTTATTAAAGAGAGAATGTGTAATATACCCTGTATAGCAATTCCCCAAATTAATAATCATCTTTTTCTTAAAAGTTTTTAGCTACCGTATAATCCCTCTATTCAACAATAACCATATTTTCACAAATCTAAAGCTAGCCACTTTATATTTGGAAACAGTACAAATCCACTTTATTATGTGATCTCCTCCTCCTTCTTTTCTTTCTCCTCCTTCACATCTACTTTCTCCTCCTCCTTCACAGGAGGATGGTAGAGGTTTTGTTGATAATTCAATCTTTGTGAGAAAATAGTGTGTGGAGGAGGTAAGAGGATACCATGGTAGGTGTTTCTCAGGACCCCTCTTCAGTCTGCATGTGACCATAGTGAAAGGAAGTGAACATCAGAACTTCTCTTATTTAATACTAAGACATTAGCGGAATAAAACTAGCAGTCTCAGTCAAAATAATTACCACCATGTTGATTACTTTTATTCCTCCCGACATTGGTGAGTCTAGGTAAGCTAGTTAATAAATATTCCTCATTTTGTATCTAATTATTTAAAAAATTTGTGAATTTCTGTTTTTGTGCACAATTCATTTGTTGGTTCATTCCTTTAATTTCCATTTTATTGTTTTTAGTGAACAGATTGGAATCAGACAGTCCCAGATTGACAAGTTATATGCAGGATTACGAGATCTTGCAGTGGAACGCCGCAGTAAATTGGATGAAGCTCTCAAGCTCTTTATGCTGAATCGTGAGGTTGATGACCTAGAACAATGGATTGCAGAGAGGGAGGTGGTTGCTGGATCACACGAACTTGGTCAAGATTATGAGCATGTCTCGGTAGGTGCAATAGAAGTTTTAACTTGTGTGTACAAATCAAAACAAGATATAATAAAATTGTGGCATTGTGTCAAAGTGAAACTTAATTTCCTTTTATCCATTTCAGATGCTTCGTGACAGGTTTAAGGAGTTTGCTCGTGACACAGAAACCATTGGAACAGAGCGTGTTGCAGCTGTCAATGAGATTGCTGATCAACTAATATCTGCGGGTCACTCTGATGCAGCCACTATAGCAGAATGGAAGGATGGTCTCAATGAATCTTGGGCTGACCTACTTGAATTGATTGAGACACGCACACAGATGTTAGCAGCTTCATGGGAGCTCCATAAATTCTTCCATGATTGCAAAGATGTGTTGAGTCGCATTCTAGAAAAGCAAAACAGTATCTCAGATGAACTTGGTCGTGATGCTGGTTCAGTTTCTGCCCTGCAGAGGAAACACCAAAACTTTGTACAAGACTTGGTTATGCTTCAACAGCAGGTAAATTAATTGGTTAAATTGTGGAGATAGTGTCTTGATTCAAGTTTTCTTTGTTGATATCTTGGTGTGACAAAAACTGTTATTATATTTGAAAAAATATTATAATAGAATTAAATGTAAATTCTTCTTACAGGTGCAACAGGTTCAGGAAGATTCATCCAAATTACAAGCAGCATATGCAGGTGACAAAGCTCGTGAAATTACCAACCGAGAAGCAGAGGTGGTGTCAGCATGGTTGAACTTACAAGGAATGTGTGAAGATCGACGAATTAAACTTCATGACACTGGGGATCTATTTAGATTCTTTAACATGGTGCGCACACTTATCTTGTGGATGGATGATGTTATCAGACAGATGAACACTACAGAAAAACCAAGGTAAGGCCATTTGAAATTTAATTTTCTAAGGTAATTCTATACTGAGACAAATTCAGTGAAGTTATACAAATTACTGTATTCCTTAATGAAGCTTAGGTGTTTTTTATTTCTTTTTAAAAATCAATAATTTGTTCCACAGGGATGTCAGTGGTGTTGAATTATTAATGAACAATCATCAGAGTCTTAAAGCAGAGGTAGATGCCCGGGAAGACAACTTTAATGTGTGTGTATCTCTTGGGAAGGAGCTTCTTTCCCGCAACCACTATGCTACACCAGAGATCAAGGAGAAGCTTATGTCATTAAGCAACCAGCGCATCAACATGCTCCAGCGCTGGGAAGAACGATGGGAGCATTTGCAGCTTAGTAAGATCATGTTTCAATCTCTCTCAGTTTCTAACTACATTTTGTCAAGTGAAAAATCCAGTTTTTATACTTACATTGTCATTACACATTTCATATATTATTGTATCTCTGTACCTTGTACACTGATTTACAGAGATTGCCCCATTCCACCCATTAAGTTTTGATTTTAGGCTGTACAATGTTGGTAAATTTTTGTATTCCTTTTCTAGTTCTGGAGGTGTACCAGTTTGCTCGCGATGCATCTGTGGCAGAACAGTGGCTACTTGCACAGGAGCCTTATCTAGTATCAGTTGAATTTGGGGTAAGTATTGCACTGAATAGCATCAAATGACTTCAGGTACAGACCCTCAAAACTGGATCTCAGAAAACCAGAGATTCTCAAAAACTGGACATTTACTTTCTTGGGTTAGGTTAACCCTCTCAGCCTTGGAGCCTGAGACACCTACGTGCATGGAAACTTACGCTCAGCCTCAGGATTTTGCCAAAAAATCTTAAAAAAATAAAATAAAATACTTAGGGCTCATTTCACTGCCATGAAATTGTTTTATTAATTGTAATGGGGTCTCTTCTAGCATAAAATTGTCTGAAATTTTTTATGAAACCATAAAAAAAAATTAACCGTTTAGTAACATCTCAATTTCCATTCACATTTTCCTTGTATTATGGTGTTCATTGATATGTACTATATATCAAATAAAGAGCAAAGCATGTAGAACATTGTGGTATAAGGAAAAATAATATAACACAAAAACTCTTGGAATAATTAAAGGGCCAAGCGGTGCACCCTCCTCTCGCTCTAATGGCCAGAGCGACACTGGCTTTGTGCTGTGCTGCCATGCACACGATGACCAAGACTGTCTCGGGGAAGGTGATAAGACCCACACAAAGAAAATGGAGTCTGTCAAATGGCGTCTAAAGTTCAATCAGTTTCACTGAATTGTTTTTGAGTTACTTGAAAATATAGCCCATTGGACGCCATGTTGGCGTCGTGAGGCTGAGCGTAAGTTTTTCGCCCTTTATGTTCAACGCCACAATGGCGTCGTGCGAGGCTGATACGGTTAATATTTCTTCCTTTACCAAGTCTAGTTTTCCTTCCACACATTTAAACAAACCCAGTTGAACATTTATTATTCTGTACTTAAATAACAAAATAAAGAAAACAACATTGCATAATTACTCAAAGGACAGCACATTAAATCAGTTCATTTTGAAGTTTAGAGTTATCTAAATTATTATTGTTATTTATTTATTTTTGCATCGGAAACTTCTAGCGAGTCAAAAAATTTGCCAAAAGTTGAGTGCATTGTGTGATTGAAAAATAGCCCAATACAGGTAGTCACCCACAAAAGGCCTGTCACCTCTCCTGAACAACAGTCCCTGAGATTCAGACCCATGGATCCAAGCAGTAGACTGATGCATTTTTGTTTACAAATGCTTCGGGTTCACGTGTCTGAATCTCGGGGTTCGTGGTTTAGGAGGTGAGACGACAGGACTTTTGTGAGTGCTTGTACCTGGATAATATTTTTTTATGCTTGTACACGTAATAATAAAATATATGTTTTCACAAAGCTTTTGAAATTAATATTGGTCTCTCTAATTAAACTAAAGATTTCGGGGTAACTTATTCCAGATGCTGCATGTTAATATTCAGCATCTGGCATTGTGTTATTTGTTCAATCAGACTCATAGACAGAAACCACCTTACACACACAAACACAGGCTATGGAAGCAATTTTGTACCAACTTTGAACCCTTAGCATGATTATTAAAATAACATAAATTACAAAATATATTGCATATATTCATCACATTCACATATCCTAAGTTAAAAAATTCCCCTATATTAATAAAAAAGTTTAGAATGCATATACTGTATAGATAACATTATAACAAATTTGGAGGCTTAGAGCCTTATATTTATGTAACATTAGTAAACACAGAAGCTCTCCTGTATCTTAGGCCATGAATGGTTTGTTACCCTGGGTATTAGTTAAGGTTTTTTAGGAATATTGTACAGTAAAGATATACAGTGTTTTACTCGATTGTTTCTTAATTTTTTCTCTTATTTGTACTGTACTGTATTGTAAATGTGCTAATACAGTACTTTCCTTTTTAATGTTCTAAATACGATAATACTCTTAATTTATTACAGTATTATAATTGTGTTTTTACTTCTTAAATATTAAAATATTGTAACTGTGCTAATAATTTAATCTTGAAAGCTTGTGATACTAATTCATAAAGATGCAAATCTTTTCATAACTGTATATATTTAACACAGTAAACTATGTCCTATAATTTAATTTTTATTTCAGTGCTCTATTGATGAAGTTGAAAACCTCATCAAGAAACATGAGGCATTTGATAAGGCATGTTCGGCCCAGGAAGAACGATTTGCTGCCTTAGAAAGACTAACCACGGTAAGTGATGCACATGATGGAAATTGTATAGGAAGTCCAGTATTGCTAGCATTGTCTGATAAGGTTATTATATCTCTCTGGAACTAAAGTTGAAGCAGAATGTGTATATAAAGTTGAAAGTGACACAGATATGCTACATTAATTTTGAGAGAATGAGTTATTAATCATTGTACAGGATTATCATCTAGTCAGTGACATAAGCACACACACATTAGCCTTCTATCACTTTATAGTCCCTATTCCCAGGGTATTACTGATGCCTGTTCCCAATTTCTTGTCATTCTTATAGATAAATCCGTAAGGTTAACTGCTCCAGACTTGATGTTGATGAAGGTCTTAATTTTAGTTGAAATAAATATAGAATGGTAGGGAGGCAAAGTCTTTGATGTACTCCACAACTCCACTTGTGTATAGTATTTTAGTTAATTTAAATAATTAGGAATGTAAGATAACTGCAAATGTTTCTAAATTTTTTATTAATTCTTACTTTTTAGTGACATAACTGAATTGTCATTGTGATTAATTTATAAAAAATATTGTCCTATATATTTGCTTAATAGAGATGAAAGAAGATCTACACAGAAAGCATATGCCAGGTCATGAAGTTTTTTGTCATATAATTAACAGTAAGAGTAATGACTAACAAAACTGATACTGAACGTTGCTTGGATGATAGCTGGAATTACGGGAACAGGATAAGCGGCTAGGCCTAACAGACGAGCAAGGCCGAGCTCTTTACTATGGTCAACGCTACACAGATGATGACCCGGTGATTGTTAGTTATAGTAGTGTTCATGAAGGATATAATAGCTGAAGTATTTAATTTATGGGTTATATCACATTATGAACCTGTCACCCTATTAAGAGTCACTTTGTAATGCATGTGTGAGTAAACATTATGCTCATCCTGATAGGTCTTCATATTCTTCAACATTCATTTGAGTCATAATGCTTGAATGATGCTGTACTGTATATGTAAAATCATAATACTGTACATTAGGGCCCTGATATGAGCTGTTGTATCCTTGATGAATGAGGCTACTTGTGTTGTAGCCAGTTGAGCAGATACTTACAGGAAGGATTGTGGGACTGTGGACAAATTTTTATACATTGGAATACTTTTTTGCTTTCATAGTTGCTTAATAATATTTTTTCAGGACAGTATTACACATCCTGTATAGTCCAGTAATGCATTATGGTCATTCACTTATTGATGATAAGTCCCTCAATTCTTCAACCACTGCTTACTAAAGACAGAACATTAAGGATTTGTGTTGTGCTGGTCATACAAAAGTATCTCATACCAATATTAATCTCTTAGGACTTGCTTATTGAAAACTGTTGGAGTCTTGATATATTTTCTTTAGGCTTGAAAAGACAAATCTATCTGTTGGGGTGAAGCTTGGTCCAGTATTGATAAAGAGCTTTGAAGCTGAATGTGCAGCTGAATAATAAAATAATGTGCAAGAAAAATACACTTCTCTGTAGGTTTTACTTATAGATATTAAAAATGAAAGTTTTCTTATAAATAATGGCTTAATGTTTTGATATAATTCTCTGTGCAGTCTAAGGTTGAATAGAGGGTTTAAGACAAAAAATTGTGAAACAATTATATATATTTACACACACACACACACACACATATATATATACATATATATATATATATATATATATATATATATATATATATATATATATATATATATATATATATATATATATATATATATGTATGTATGTATGTATGTATATGTATGTATGTATGTATGTATGTATGTATGCATGTATGTATGTATGTATGTATGTATGTATGTATGTATGTGTGTATGTATGTATGTGTATGTATGTATGTATGTATGTATGTATGTATGTGTATGTGTGTATGTATGTATGTATGTATGTATGTATGTATGTATGTATGTATGTATGTATGTATGTATGTATGTTATGTATGTATGTATGTATATGTATGTATGTATATGTATGTATGTATATATATGTATGTATATATATGTATGTATATATATGTATGTATATATATGTATGCATATATATATATATATATATATATATATATATATATATATATATATATATATATATATATATATATATATATATATATATATATATATATATATATATATATATACAGTATATAATTTTTCAAATTTTTTGTCTTAAACCCTCAAAGGGGGGATTAATCCAGAAATCACTTTATACATGGCTAGCTGTTAGTGAATTGTATGGTATATGCAGCTTGACTGCCCTGGATGGTTCACTAATCTTGATAGATTACAGCAAAATAACATTTGCTGGACCTCAGTTCTAAGTGAAAATAATTTTGAAGGGAAAGGGTGTAGCCCTTTTAGTACTCATAGATGAAAGACCATATTAATTTCTAATGATTATTCCTCGATTGCCCAGGTCATAGGCAATTTGTCTTGATCTAACTTTTTTTTTTTTTTTTTTTTATACCCCATTATTCTGGCAGCTTCTATTCCCTAAACTAAGGAGGAAAGCAGGACCTCAGACCATTAGCTCACTGTTAGTCATAGAAAGGTATTTCAGGATCAGTCCTGATTTGTGACTACCATTTTAGGATACTGGTATGGTATATGAAATCTAGACCAAGACTTGAAATAGATCAGGTGTGGTGAAAAAGTACCCAAAATATTAAGGAAGGGAAAAGACAGAAGTCTTAGTTCTAGGATGTTTGCCAACCTTAACAACCTCACTGTGTCATTTTGTTGACATGTGTAGTCCCTTCATTTGAGATTGCAGGTTATTGAGCTTTTAGCTAAATACCATACTCCATATAACAAACTGTGTCAGAAGATGACCTTCTCAGAGATTACTGAAGAAGACACTCCTCAGAGGTCATAGGCCTCTGATAGTCTTAAAAGGACAACACTCAGCTCCTTTAGAATCCCTTTTCTTTTAAAACTAAGGCATCCATCTTTTTGGTCCAAGGATAACTACTCCTCTGAGGTAGTCTAGCTTCTGTAATCAATCAGGATAAGGTGGATAATCTTGGATACCTTTAAGTTGAACAGTATATACCAGACCTTTCACTTAATCAGCCAGTCATAAAGCATCACTGGAAGCTTGATACTAGAATGAAGAATAAGATGATACTTCAGCGAGTTTTACTTAATATCAGGTTTTAAAGTAAATAATTGAAATAATTGTGTTTAGAAAATTTCATGGGAATTATGTAGATGGAATGTATCATGAGTTTAAGAACAAATTTGATAAAGAATTACAAAAAATCTTTCCAAATTATATAATATAATATTTCCTAATTGAATAATATGCTCTGTCGTACATTTCCTTATATGAAATTTGAAATGACAATCTCAGGTTTCCCTGCTACTGCTATGTATCCAATCTCATACAGTATTCAAAAGTTGTTGTGAATGAGATAGTATTGTACAGTATATGGAATAGAGAAAATACTCATTGCTCCTCTGACCCAAAAACTAAGTTTTGAATGGACTTGGCACATTAGGTGGACTTAATGACTGACGTTTTACCACAATTTGAGTGTTCTTAGCAGCGAAGCTTCAAGGATATGATAGCCTGCAAATTTCACCTTAAGGTATGACTAAATGGAGTTTTGTGGTTATGGCTCTGGTTTTATTTGATCCAGGAAAAAGACCTTTATCAAGATAAAGACATTGAAGCAACATGCTGTATTATTTTAAGACAAAGAAACATGAACATGCAAAATATAAGAAAAAGAGTGCCAGGTTGACCTTTGATATTGGCTGTGAACTTCGGCTTTTTAGTCATATAGGGTTGTAGGCCCACAGTCCATATTATTCAGTTTCTCACCAGCTTTCTAAAAACTCAAGTATCATACCTTCATCTGCCATGGCTTTTCATCATCACTTCTTGTTCCAAACTATTTGCACTTGAATCCTATCTTGCTGGACTACTAACACATGGTCAGACAGGCTTACACCCAGATACCTCCTCAATTTCAGGTGAGATGCTTTACCAGTCATATACTTTGAGGTCTTCCAAAAAAACTTCCAGCCACACTTATCCTCTACTCTGTCACCTATCGGTCCAGTCAAGTGTCCCAACACAATCGGGCTCTTCTTTGTGCCATTACATTTTCACTTGCAATTTACTGTATAATAACGTATTTCAAAAACTATCCTTGAATTTATTTTTCCTATCATATGGAGAAATGCAATAGTGACACAAAGCATTCCTTTAACTTTTTTAAAATTTTAACGATTTACATTCAAGAATTCACATGTACCTGCATGCTGAGCACTCACCGATTTGGTATTTATATATATACTGTATTTTTTTTTTTTTTGTCGATACTGTTGTCCCCAAACAAATTCATGTTACTCTCGCAGCCATGTTTCCCCAAATAATTTTTTGCGCCAAAACAATTGAAATTCATTAAAAATGACATGAACTACAAACAAATATATATGAAATACAAAATAGAATATAATTGAAGGATGAGTCCATAATCTCCATCTCAAGGCTGTTTATCAACTGTTCACCCACCACTACAGACAGTACCCTGTATCAGCTAGCCTCCTCACTGCATCCCAGGGTCGGGTGTGAGAAGGTATCTTCCTGTACTAACGCAGGGCAGTGAATGTCATAACAGACATGAGATTTACTTAGCAGAGAAAAGATTTACTGGATAGTAAACTGTGAAGTGGTGAATATGATTAATTATTAAAAATAATCATGGAAAAGTAAATTACACTCAATTTTACCATTCTTGTGATATTAAAACACTATGCATTTAATAAGATTACATAATGTTTTTACCTAAAATGAAACTTTTGCTGTTTTTTTTTATACAAGGTGTGCTTGCTGAAGCACTGGCAGGTCTTTTTGTACTCACTGAGCATGATTTGGGTCAATTTCTAAAGTAATAATTCCATACGCATGTAAATAATTGCATACACATGTAAACAACTCTTGCTACAATCGTCTGTACACATCTGGAAGGTTTTAGTTGAGAACATGTGATTTTAACTTTTTCACATGAACAGTATTTTGAAATATGAAAGAAAATATTGGGGGACCTTCAATGTTCCACTAAACACAACCATAGGAAATAGATGCAACTTCTGACCAAATAAGAGCTTTAGTGTATTGAAAAATTACAGAATTTAAGGGAATTTCTAGGTAATTTTGACAACTTGGGTAACTATATTTTGTACTAATTTGATTGACCCAAAACACCTGTGATACTGAATTAGGGAGGGCTCAACTTACATGCAAATTATCATCTATCCCATTCTTCTTTCATTAACAGTATGATGCATTCTTTGTCATATGCTCTTGAAAGCCTCTGACCCCTCGCCATTCACTACTGTTCCAAACAAATTTTTAAAACCGATCATTTTTGTTTCATGCATTCTTAGCATATCTAGATCTTTCTTTCTAGAAGCCTTTTTTTTATGATATTTTTTCATTTGTACGACAAATCGAGTTCTGTGATGGTACAGCCTGTCTGGTCCTCTCCTATTGTTTCACCTAGATTAATTTCCCCAGATCTAGCAGGAGATTTATGAGTATTATAGTAGTCAAGGTCATGCTGAAAGATCAAAATTGCAAGCAATCACATAACACAAATTAGGTCTGAGAACAAACAAATTTTACTTCAGATTTTGTCATAGATTCCAAATAATGTGCCAGAGGTTTATTCAAAACTAGTCAGGCTTCATCAAAAGTGTGTATAGTATGTATACCCGAGATAGATTACCCCAGTATTCATGAGTTTGAGTACAGGACAATGCTTGATCCAGTCATGGTAATTTCACATGCAATATTTAAAAGCTTTTTAGTGTTTTTACCCTCTTGACAGAACCTGTAATTATTGGTAGTCTTGTAAGATTTTTAATTCTTGTAAGGCATTGTATTTTAACTCATTAGATATTTGATAGTCTGCCTCAAGTCTAACATTGCTAAACAGATTTTGTAGCTGTGTTTGCAGTTCTGTTGTTTGGTGCACAAAACCACCATCTACAAATATGTGGCTTTAAATTTTTACTTGTATTAGCTAGTGAAATTGCATCGAGTTATTGGTGACTTTTGTTTTATTTTTCTTGTTATTGATGAGATAATCCATAATATTTGTGATATGTTTGAGTTATACCATTATACCTTTTAAAAATGCAGTGATGATTTGTGAAGAGCTATTAATAGATATAGTATTCCTTAGGTACAATCACTTTGATATATTTGTAGATTTGTCATAAAAGCAGTTGCTGATTAGCTGACATATCCATAAAGCAAACTGTTTCTTAATTAGGTATAATAATTTTTATATATGTCTTTTACTGTAAAATAAGTTTTGCTGCAATTGCAGTTTTTGGCTTATGAACAGATCTTTTTTAGGGAGGGCTTTTCTGAATTAGCAAGGTTTAACATTACTTTTTAAGTATTTTTCATTTGAGTATCACGGTCACTAAAGTTACACATTCTCCCTTCAAGGTTTAAGTTTCACAGCTTTTCCTTGGAATGTTTAATGATTTAAAAGTTATACCATTAGATTTTTAGTTGTATATTCTTGCATGTGTGTGTGTGTAATTTAACTCTTGAACTTCACCTACCTTCTTTAATTGATTATTTTTGCACCAGTAAATTATTAATTTTCTACAATAGATTCCTTACTATGTATTTTCAAAAATATTCTGTGGGTAAGGGTGTAAAACATTTGTACTGCTTTAGTTTTTATATACAGTATGTGGTATTTATGTTGTGGGTCCTGCTTATTTTTCTCCAACTTCTGTTTTATTTGCTTTTTAATGTTTATAATGCATGCTAATTTGTGTTGTTTTTGTGGTGGTGGACAGCTTGAAGCCCTTAGTGTAACTGATGCAAGACCATCAACTAACAGTGGTGATGAAACCAGTATCAACCGCTCCTTCATTCCTTCTTACTCACCTCGCCCACCCAGCCTCCGCCGTCATTCTCTCCCCACCCCTGTACACGCATTTTTTACTGCATTTTCTTGTCCTGCATTAACTCAGTTACAAGCCAGTAGGCAAAGAAGTTTTCGCCCCCTGTCAGATATTATATCGCCTAAGGTGGCTTCCAGTGGCTCTTTAAGGAAAAATCGCAACAGATCAAATTCTGTTTCTAATCCACAACTGTCAGAAACTGTACTCGTAAAGGATTCTGATACAGACAGTCTCTTTTCTGAAATGCTTAACTTGCGCTGCAATTATTATGAAGAGCGGCCCACTAGTGCCCCTCCTAGTAACTCATTACAATTAAGCTCAAAAGTTTCAACTAATAGTGTGCCTACACCATCAAATCCATCTCTCTCAATAGAAAATAGAGATGGTGAATTTTTGCATTTAAATGTCCCAGATGGTGGAAGTGACAGTAAATCTAATAGCTCAGTTTGTGAGTTCGTTAGTGTAGATGAATATGAATCCCCATATTTAGAGGAGTCAGTATATAGAATATCAGACTTTTGTTCACAGGGCACAGGTTTTAGAAATAGTTCAGAACTCGAGTGTATTGCCGAATTAGAAAAAGAAGATATGGAGCCTGTATATTGTTATAGGGCTTATAGAAAAAGTCAGATATACGGTTATACAGACTCGGCTGATGAGAGTACTACGTTACCACCCATATATGAATTAGAAGGTGAGGGATCCGAGATCACAGAATTGGCTAGCCCCGCTAGATCTGTTGAGTTTTGGAGCACTGAAAATCTCTGTGATGAGAAATCGGACAACTTTAGTAAAAAATATAATAAGACCAGCATTGAAGCATCCCAACCTCAAAATTGGGTGAACCATGATAATTGTGCTCAGTATTGTTCAGATAATGATTCCATCATGAGTTATTATTCAGTTATCCCTCGTGAGGGTTTAAGGGAGAGCGTGCGTAATGTTGACCATTTAGTGGGAAAATTGGATTTGGGAAATGTACAGGGGTGCCCCTCACCAGTGTCACCTTTCCCTCTCACTCCACCCAATACTTGTGATTCGTCTCCTAAAGTGACAAATGTTAGACATCCTGCAAGAAATAACCTGCATGCTCTGTCTGGTGTAGAGGTAAAGTAGTCTCATAGTTTTATGAATTGTCCATTTTGTTTTATCAATATTTGTGCCTGCACCTCCTGTCAAGAATGAATCTAGTCTTAGGATTGACTGAAATGTTACATTCTTATGTTGCTGCCTATAAGATGATAATCAATCCCCTAACCAAAATATTTTAATTTTTAACTCAAGGACTCTTTGGGGTATACAATAAGATTTTTTTCTATTGAAATGCATGAAGAATTATATAGTAGACTTCATTTTGTAGAAGATTTAGATGCAAGGCTTATTATACAAATGGGAGATTATAGAATGTGTTTAATAATACAGTACAGTAGATCTTATTATCTTGCTTATGGCTAATTTTCAGGTAGATACTTGTGCAACATTTTACTGTCATTGTCTCCTTTTTGTACTTAACTAAATCCAATATTACAGTATGAATTAAAGGAGCTTAAGAGGAAGCAAGAAGAGGAAGAGGAAGAAAGGAGGAGACAAGAGGAGATGGCAAGACAAGCAGCTGCTCCTCCGCCACAGTCACCTGACCAGCCAACAGATGGGTGAGTTATCTCATCCTCACTTTATTAATTTAAAAACTCTAACAACTAGATGTGTATGACACTGTATTTATTCTGAGTAGCTTGTATAAAGAAAGTATTGGTTCTAACAAAAATCTTCACCAATGTTTAGGCAAAGGAGACAACTTCATTATCATGTTGACTTTTTTTCCTAAATCCACTTCAGGTGCAAGTCATTGTTCTTTACATCATTAATTTGAACATTGTTATGCTTTATGATTTGAAAAAGTTTGAAAATTGGTCCAGAACATAACTTATATCTCTATAGATATTTTAGAAAGACTTCACAAGGGTAAATTCACAATTACCAAATTCAAGTCTCCCTGTGTAAACCATGACCACAGGAAAGTCAGAAGTTAAAACTTTGTTTGAAAAATGAAAACATTCAACAACAGAGGTATTTTGATGAAACTTTGGTGATATTATTACTAGCCAAAGAGTAGAACACTAAATGTAAAATTTGTCTGTCAAAGGTCAAGGTTACTGTTAATGGTTATAGGTAAAAGTATCATACAGATCATAATTCTTGTGTTCATGTAGATATTTTGATGACATTTGAATACAGTAAACCCCTGATATTACAGACACTGTCTATAATGGACATTAGGTTTAAGGGACATTGACCCACTCGGACTAGGTTAATATATTATGGACTCGGGTCCACTAACGTAAAAATAATGGATCGGGTCCATTAGGGTAAAATAATGATGGACTACCACATGTCCATTCACATCCAAATTATCACAAATAATCACGGTAATACCCCATTTAGGGCTGCCCTGCATAACGCTTATTCATTATAGAGGTCTTTGGTCCTCTCCCGAAGCTATTTTTTACTAAGAAAAAAAAAAGGATGACAATCCATAATACAAGGTAGAAGTTACAAGACAGAACACTCAGGACTCCCCAACAGTGGCCATGTTTGTTTACATTCTTTCCGCCCATGAGAGCTCTTTATGTGACTGATTTCTGCATATTATAGCGAATATTTGTGACCCAAGCTATTTTTTACTAGAAAAAATGGAAATCCCTAATACAGGTCAGCTGTTCAATTGTTCCTGACAGTGCAGCTGTCATTATTACACATCATACCCCACCACCACCACTTACAAGTAACCAGTACCGTACGTGTTACTAACGTGTAGAGCAGCCTGGTTTATTCTATAGGCCACCACTCGTCGCCCCAGTTTGAACACATTACTAATCCTGTAAACACCAGTTGGTGATGGTGAGTGTTGTTGGTAATGGTGAGAATGAGTGCTGGTGGTGAGTGTTGGTGGTGATGGTGAGTGTTGATGGTGAGTGGTGGTGATGAGTGTTGGTGGTGGTGTTGATGGTGAAAAGTGACCCATGTGGTCACTTTGGACTATGTTGGTGTGTAATGGACCAAGTCCATTATTATTCTGGATCCAGATATAACGGATTTTTGGCCTTAATGACCGGCCTACCTCCCAATTAGTCCATTACATCAGGGGCTTACTGTATGTTTTATCACCAGTGAGGGTGCAGAATATAAAATTTCAAAGGTTAATGTGATGGCTGAGGGTCAGATATTAAAATCCTCTCCAGACTATGACATTTATATCCCTGTACAGGGGTGTGTGTTTGATGAAATTTCATATGTATTTATCATTACCATACTAGACAAAAGGAAAACATATAATTTGTGATGTTTGGTCAGAGTGATGCCTATTTAAGAAATCTGCTGTTAAACAGTGGCATCTTTGTCAACAGATATGTCAGTATATTTTGAGTATTTATTAGACAATAGGCAAAAATCATTCAAGAATTTCCTGTCAAACTTAGAGAAATGCTGAAAAGGTATGGGAAATCTTTTTTGCTAATTACCGTATTTAATGGCATATACCCGTAACATGCATGAGCATATAAGATGCACCCCTATTTCAGCCATAGGTTTTTTTTTTTTTTTTTGTATAATATATACAGTACAGCAATGTACCAATAAATGTGAGGAACAAATAAAAATAATACAAATATAAGTTAAAACAAAAACAAAATACAGTGACCCCTCGTTTAACGAACACCTCGGTTAACGTAATTTCGATTAACGAACTGCCTTCCAAAAGGATCTTCAATTCGGTTAACGAAAAAAAATTCGGTTAATGAAGTTCCTACGAACCGACCTCAACATGTTTTCGCTTGCACTGACCGGGCAACCAGCTTTAGTATCAGTCCGCCAATACATTAATCGGTTCTAGGGCTTAAATTCCTTACTATTTTAGTAAATATCAAGAAGTTTATACTATTCAATAATTTTAAAAGTTTAATAATATTCCAATTTTAGTCATTTTAACAATTATTTGAACATAATTCGAGCAAATGACTAAGTTTAATCGCAGCATCAGCCTCTTCTTTTGTAAACAGGAGTTAGTCTCTCTCTGTTTCACTGCGATAACATCTTGCTTGAGACTCTCTTTAACTAAATGCTTTTTTCTGTGTTTGCAAGCAAATTATTGGTCATTTTGAAATTTATTTTACATATTGACAATATATAATGCAGTGCAGTGTTGATTGAAAGAAAATAATCTTGAATTACACCAAGAGAACTAAAATTTTATGGGTGAAATGGAGCCATGGGGTGACTTCTCTTCCACCCCAATGCCTTCTCTTTCTTCCTTCTCCTCCACCCCCATTCTAAATCCCATCATCATCATCATCATCATCCAGGAGCCTTCTACATACACACCTCAAAGTAAGTGAACTTTTCTACCATTTTTGTTGAATTTAGGAAATTTTCGGTGAGCTGGAACCAATTACCCAAAAACCCATTGAAACAATGGTTTCGGTTAACGAACTTTTCGGTTAACGAACGACCTTCTGGAACTGATTGAGTTCGTTAATGGAGGGGTCACTGTACTGGATTTCCATTTGGCTGCAGGACAATGAGATTTGCCAATAGTTTCCCTACACACAGGAGACAGCTTAAAACAGCTGATATCCCTCACTCTCCCACCTCTTAACACACACAGAACATTTATTCCTGTTTATCTTTATGACGTTATGATAATTATTTATCTTTATTTTTTATTTTGGGGGGGGGGGTACATTCTGTATCTAGGATGATGTGTGTATGTAACATAGTAAAAAAAATATACAGTGGTCCCTCGATTAACGAACACAGTTGGTTCCACAGAGTAGTTCGTTAACTGAATCTATTATTTTCAATGGGATATTGGGTAATTGGTTCCAACTCACAGAAAAATTACATACAAAGTACTGTATACCAGTACTAGAATGAACAAAACATTAAATATAAACTAAATGCAGTCATGTACTGTACTGTACAGTATACTGTATAATAATAAATAAAAACAATAGAATACTGTATTTTAATTTACTGAGGTGTGTATGTAGTATTCCCAGCAGCTTTGTTTACATATCAAACAGCTGATTGAATCCAGGAAAAAGTCACAGATAAAAAGGCACGGAAAAACTTAACCTAACCTAAGCTAACTTAACCTAACCTACATGCAATGCCATCATATATATATATATATATATATATATATATATATATATATATATATATATATATATATATATATATATATATATATATATATATATATATATATAAATATATATATATATATATATATATATATATATATATATATATATATATATATATATATATATATATATATATATATATATATATATATATATATATATATATATATATTGTGTTGTCAATGTTTTACAAGTTATTGTGACTTTTTTTTCCTGTGGACTTTATTTCCGTCCACCCAGCTGATTGTAGAGGCAGTCGATGATGACGTGCCATATTCTTTACAGAGTGCATTGGTTCTAATGCCTTCTTCATGTTTCATAATAATTTTTGCACTGTATATTATCAATATGTGAACTAAATTTCAGACTGACCAATAATTTTAATGTAAAAATGCAAAAGTATTCAAGAGACCAACAAACTGGATGTTCACTCCACTGTAAACAAAGTTAAACTTAGAAGCGTTGGTGGGTGATTTGATCACCTGAAGGGCACACAAAAACTGTTCCCTGTACTGTATATATTAATTATTAATATGTTAACTAAATTAGAATGACCAATAATTTTAATATAAAAAATGCAAAAATATTCAAGAGCACAATTTTCTTGATATTTACTCCACTGGAAACTAATGTAAACATAAAACCGATTACTGTATTGGCAGACTAGCCGATCAGCTGATCTGCTGAAAGTGTATCTAGTAAGGCTTTGGATTATCGAATTGAAAATCCTTATGGGAGCTAATTCGTTAACCGGAATTTCGTTAATTGGACCGTTCGTTAATCGAGGGACCACTGTATATATAAAAAAAAATTTATGTGTGCTGTACATGTATCTACCCAAAATTACAAGTTGAAAAATAACCATAACATAGGTCACAGCTTGGCCTGAGTGGGAGGGCTAAAGGGATGTGACTATTGTGATGAATCTTGTGTAACTATTACAAATACAAAACTAATGTAATATAAAAAACTGAAAACAAGTAAAAATAAAAAAATAGCATTAGTAATGGTCTACATGGTAAGTCAAAAGCCTGAAGAAGCAAACTCACAACTGCCTGCACAGTAGTCCCCACCACCCACGGGGGTGAGATTCCTGAAAACCCCATGGTTGGTAAATTCACGAATGGTTAGACTAAAGACTTGTGGGAAATATGGGGTTAGGTTCCATGGCCACGGATAACACTCGTTCAAAGCCTAACTCAGTTGTCTGTTCTCTCACTAAACATTACCTGCATTGTACATTTATTTATAGTTGAGTCAAATACATATAAAATGCATTATCTTAACATAAATTAAATCGGAATATAAATTTTACAGTACATCTCCTTGGAGATGGCATGTTGCTATAAAATAAGAAAAATGGGTATGTATGTGTGTGAAGTGAACATAGGTGTGTGTTTGTGTGTGGACTTGGCAGGTCATCAAGTTAGACTGTCCCTGTAGCTACATCTCCCTACCAGGCCAAGCTGTTTTATTGTTATTTTTCAACTTATATTTTTGGGTAGATATACATCATTTTAATTATTTATTTATTATACTGTTACATGCACACACAATCATTCATACAGAATGTTTAAAATAAAATAAAATAAAATGATTATCATAAGGTATAAAAACAAAGAGAATAAACATTTTTTTATGTCCCGAGGGAGTTAGTATTGGATCATGGGAAGGGGGAGCCGGAGGTGTGGTATCAGGGATCTCAGCTTCTTCCTACCAGGCCAATCTGTGAGTTGCTGTTTCTTTTTCTTCTCCAAATTGTAGTTTTAGGTTAATATATAAATTTTATTCCTTTTTGTTTTATGGTCACACTACTTGCACACATACAATTGTTCATATAGAATGTGGGAAATTTTTTTTGTTATCATAAGGTAAAAACATAGAGAACAAACATTTCTTACGTCTGTTGGGAGTTAGCTCACAATTGTGGGAGGGGTTGGGGGAGGGCGTTCGCTGCTGTTTCCCGTGTCCTTAGTAAAATGATTGCCAAATGATAATGCAGTATTTTTCTTTTCTTTATTTATTAATACTATTTTACATTCCTCACATTTATGGAGGAATACATTAAACTTTCGGAGGGATAATGATGCCACACTAATCCACGGGTATTCGAAATTCAATGCTGTGGTTGGTGAAATGATAAACAGTAAAACATTGGTAACCAGCATTGGCAGATGAGAAATCTGCAGTTGGCGAAGGTCTTCTGTATTTACAGTCAACCAGAGATGCACTGACCCCACCCTGGGTTTTGTATTGGCAATTTTACCTGGCTGTATGTAAAGGTGATTGCGATTGGTGGATCTATTTTCGGCTGTATCACTCTTAAGATAAATATGAAACAAACCAAAGGTAACATTTTTATAATAATAAACTATTCATCGTTATTTTAGGTCATCAGAAGTTTCCAGATGTTCGTATATTTGCTTAAATAACAAAGAAAATTATATTAATGAATTTGCGTCTCAACAACAACCACAGCTGCCATTGCATGCATATTGTGGCAACAACACTGAAATTGCTATCCAAGTACTGATCAGATCATTAAGAGTGTATATATGTATTTTTGGTTTGGTTGTTCCTTGAGTAAAAGCTTTGGAGTTATTACTCTTAAATTCTGGCCTTCTTACTCATTCAGTGGACAAAGTTATCTAAGTTAATTAAAGTACTTTCGTAACCCTAGTTCATGAACTGTTTTATAATTTATTCTTGTGTTAGATTGAATTTACAGCCAGACCATAAATTACCTCGGATGCAACGGATTTCACAATTAACATTACCTCTTGTCATCTCAATAAAGTTGGCAAGAATGATTGTGACATCATTTCTACTTTTTATTTTTATATATATATAACATTCTCAACATGTAATATGTTCCACTTTTGGTTGCAAAAATGGATAATTTTTCATAAGGTTGATTAAATTATTTGTAAGATTTTCAGAAGTGAAGTTTGTCTTTGTAATAAATTTTGTTATGCATGTGAACAGTAGCAGAGTTGATGACATAAACTCCTATGTTAACCTAGCCACTCACTATGATGGCTCCACATATTCTCAGATAAGGAAAGCAGGCCTACTTAATTATGCGACATGTTTTGTCTATGTGGGAATTTCAAATTACAGGATATTGGGTCAACAATTATCTTTCCAGAATTGATTATGATTCTGAAATTTATCCAGGCAACCATTCAAAATAGATGATCTGGATGATGACATCTGCTAGAATGTTCCAAATATAGGTCAGCAACATTTATATTAATAAGTTGGAGTGTATGTATTACTGGGTAACTCCACTGGGATTAGTCAACTCAGATGGATTGGGATGCAGATGCATGACAAGTAAACACATCAGAGGAAAACCTGTTGCTACAGCCTTGACTGTATATTTATTTCAGTCATGCTAGTAATTACTAATACATTGTTGTTCAAAGTCTTGATTTTGAATGTTACTTTTAAAATATTTATTAAATTACTGTGTTTGTGTGTGTGTGTTAATTGAGAGGAAGGCAGAATGCACATGTAAGTTTATCAAGAGATAATGCTTTCAAGTTAATGACTAGCCTCTGCAGTTAGTGACTCGTCAAGTTTTCATTGTACAGTACTGTATACAGGGATGTGCCGTTTAGTGATCGGTACACATTCATAAAAAAAACATATCGCTAAGTGATTTGTTCGCTGAGCAAATAGAAATGAGAATTATATCTTAAACAAGGGATAACGAGGAATTATATCCGTGGAGATGGCACATAATTGTGTAGCCACCCAGTAGCACTCAGATGGGTTGTGGCTGAGCTGAGAGATATGTTATTCTTCAACTTGTAATTTCAAGTACTGTAATATACGTAATTTTCTTCATTTTCTTGTATTCTGTTACATGCACACACATTCATTCATACAGAATGTGCAAACAAAATAAAAAATAATTAGCATAAAGTCGAAAACATAAGGGGAATACAGTAAACAGTTCTTACCTGGTCTGCCTGTTAGCTGACAAGAGCAGAGGGGGGGAGGGGAAGGTCAATCATTTTAGTACACAATATCACAATAGTACAGGGTAATGAACAGTCCGTACAGTACTTAATAACACGCCAAAGTCACAACAATAACAGCGATGCACAGCAATAGGAATGATGCACAGAGAAATACAATAAAGCACAGATCACAATGTTCAAGGCAGGGTAAACACTAGCGTATAACAGCCTGGGTTCAAAGGTAGCATGCCGGTAGCATACTCCTACGATACGTAATTTCTGTATAATAAACCTAGACATGTATCCCCTCTGGTTACCAAAAAATTCACTTCTTTTTCTTGCTGGAAAAGCTAGATAATACTGAACAACGTTGTCACGATCTCTTGAGTGGGCTGGGAGACATACAGTATCACACACTGCATTTATTTTACACCACTTAATTTTGTTATTTCCATCTTATTTTAATATTACTCGTGATTATATAATTCTGGATACGTAGGTGAATAGAAAAATGGAATTCAAATATATTTGTTTTTTTTTATTTACACACATGTGGCAATTCTAAATGAAATGCAGTTAACAGAGGCCATTGCTCCACAGCAAACATGCCACAGTGAGTTACAGACAACACTTGAATAAAATAACTTACATTTACATAATTCTACACTTTATGTAGATATTATTCACCGAGGCAATTTTTAGGAGTCGGCACTTGATATATGCTGTTGGGTAAGGCGGTGAGGGTGGTAGAGGCATACAAGGCTCCATCCCTCCCTCCCACTCGTGCCTCACTGCTACGTTGTAAATCATCCTCCACCACCCACCCCTATTGCTCATCATGTTCTCATCACACCCACACCTGACCATATACACCCACAGTGCATTGCCCAGTAGAGATGCCCACTTGGAGCATAGAATCAAAAATTTTTCTACCCTCCTGAAATTTTTCCAGTAGTTGGACATCTCTAAACCAAACAATTGCAAATCTTGTTAAATAACCATGGGTGTTAGAAATTTTAAATCGCTAAGTGAATGTTCGCTAAACAGCGCATCCCTGTACATTACTGATAAATGCCACATGATGCAGCTTAAGAGTAATAGGGGAATGTTGATTTGAAATAGGTACTGTTCTTGAAAGAATTTTTGTCTGGAAAGATAGTTTAATGGCCAGTTACATGAGACATTCATTATTTTATGTTTGGGTTAGCTGACACAAGTTTGTGTGTGTGTGTGTGTGTGTGTGTATATATATATATATATATATATATATATATATATATATATATATATATATATATATATATATATATATATATATATATATATATATATATATATATATATATATATATATATATATATATATATAAGGAAAAATCACAAATTTATATAAGCATTTTTGTTTATTTAACACACCTTAAATCAGCAAATTACACACAGTCACCTAGAGCTACATGTTGTCTCTGCCCCTCAGTAGACTACTGTGAGGGGCAGAGAGAACATGTTGCTCTAGGTGATGTTGTGATTGTGTGTAATTTGCTTCTGAAGATGTGTTAAATACACAAAACTGCTGATAAAAATTTGTAATTTTCTTTTTCCTCATGGCTTATGAGTTCATATATATGTACAGCATGCCCTGACAATTCACGGATGACACCCTGTATGTAGCCAAGAATGTCTGCGGGTAGTTTTAAAGTTGCTGGCATTTTTGCGGCTGGGACAGGGAGCCATTTGTTCTAGAGAGTAATTTTTTTTTTACTTGTATTGTATACATGTGTGTGTGTGTGTGTGTCTACACACACACATATACAGTACAGGGTACAGGTAAAAATAATTGTCTTAAGGGCAAACACATAAAGGGAATATGTATTTGTTTTCATACTGAGTAAAAATGTAAACATCCCCCCGCGTGGTCAGCAAATGTTAGTCATGGATTTGGCTATTCGTGGCCATTTTGAAAACCTAACCCGTGCGAATTTTAAGGGCATGCTGTATATGTACACACACACACACACACACACACACACACACACACACACACACACCAGAACGTAGAACCTCGTTTATCCAAAATCCACAGAACATTGGCAATTTCAGTTAATTAGTTTTTTGGTTTACAGTATTTTTAGAATTACAGGTTGATCTAACAAATTCGTGTTTTAGATTTTTTATTTATTTTTTTTTGCAAATCCAATCATTTTCATGAGAGTTCCCCTATTACCGAATATTTTGCTTGTCTGTGCTCGTTTGATAATTTGTTTAATTTAAATGCTCATGAAAATGCATGGATTTGCAGAAAAACTGACTTCTTTAACACTTACTGTATTCAACTGTACAAACAATGTGGCTTTGAAATGAAGAAAATATAAAACTATAAAATAAGAAAAATGAAGAGCATGGGTGTGTATGTGTGGGAGGTGAACATGTGTGGAGGTGATGGGCTGAAACTGCTGTGCTCCCTCCTCCATGTGACAGATGTCATGGCATACACACAGTGCAATGTGGCAGCCACACATCTGTGAGTGAACACAGTTGAACGTGTTACACATAAACGAGGTTCTACTTCTACTTACATATATATAGTAGTGGTGTGTGTGACATTTATTGTGAGAGGGAGAGATAATGTGTATAAGACAGTGACTGTATTGTATGTACATGACAATAGATTTACTAACATACTGCATGGATTGGTTTTCTTTGTACAAGAGGAATTTTTTAAGGGTTTGAAATGTTTGTGAATAAATTCTCCTTTAACAATATTGTCATTATGACACTGGAGCTGGGACAGAAGCCTTTCTGTTGAATTGTTTATTATGAGCACTAGCATAACCAACAAGCATATATGTGCACAGCGGATGCACATGAGTGCACTACAGGCTGACGACACTGCACAGCATGAATTTCAGTATCACTGTTAGAATCAGTAGATTCATTAAACTTAGTAGCTGTTTATATTATCAGTGTTAATATTGTAAATGTTATTACTTAGTTGGCAAGGTAACCAATTTGTATTCCTAGGAAAAGGGTTAGGGAAGCTGCATTCCAAGTATAGGTAATCACATGCACACTGCTGAAGAGATGTTTATTTACATTATTTTATGGTCAGCTGTTGAGCCACCATCAGCAGTGCCTCCTTCTAAGGGCCAACCCCATACGTTGCCCCGAGGTAAGACAAATCACCAGTGACGGTGTGTGACAAGCTTCGCACCTCTTGTGTTAATGATCACGATGCTTAATGACTACCTCTTGTAGTTATGTAAATTGATCACATTGCTTTATTATCGCCACTTGTAATATAGGTAAGCTTCTATGATAATACAGTATTGCTATTCTCCCAAGAAGCCTTTTAATTTTTTTTCTACTGTAAATATGGCTATTTATTATTCCCAATAAAGTTTGAAGGCTCACAGAACTGCCAGTAACAATGTAACAAAATACTGATTATGCCTCCCTTCATTATGAAATTTTGTTGCTGTCCCAGCTATTAGTAGTATGGTTCACTATTACTAACTGTAACTGACATTGGCCCGTATAATCCTAACCATTACTACTTGCAATATATCTATGTATTTATTGTCTGAAATTTGTGATATTTTTTTTATTTATTAATTTTTTTTTCATCTTGGGATTATGGATGATGATTCAACTGTGGTTTGTTATTTCTCTGCTGATCACATTTCTTATGAATATATCTTGACTTATTTTGGTGGGAGTATATTGAGGTGGCACTTCTTCGAATTGTGTTGGGCGTTCGTTTTACTCTTGTAGTTGTGGTTTATGACTTACGGTGGATATTGGGTCCCTATTTTTTGTTGAGTGTGATCTAAGTATGTCGCCTCATTGGTTTGAAGATTTAGATCTGTCACCCTTTTGGTGGAGGTTTGCACGGCTTGGGCAGTATGGCTCATGTGTTCCCTCTGACAAAGGTGAGGTATATATTATGTTCTTGTTTCTAAAATATAATGTGTGGGTGAATTTAGTCTGTTATGTGTACTATAATTATAAAAAATAGAGCCTGCATAGTTTCTCTTAACAATTGTTTGCTTGTTTTAATTGTTTATGACATTTGTTATAGTTTATTATAGTTTATTTTAGCTTATTTAAAATCCTTTATTGTTTTCACTTTTAGTAACTATTCTTGCATATGATTATAAAAGTATATTTTGAGTTCTTTTATTAAAAGCGTAATTTTATATTTGTAATTGATGTACTATGGTAGTTTTATTTGTGTATGTTAGGTATTAGGTCAAATTGAGTTCTGCATGATATATGCATGATGCATGATGTGCATGCTGTGCTGTGTTGTAGAGCATGATGAGAGTGCAGCAGTGCGGGGGGGTAGTGCACCTAGCACCCCACGACCCCCTTCCACACCCGCCACCCCCACTCCTGCGTCCAGCGCAGTCCGATGGCGTCCTGTCTCTGCCACCCTCCCACCACAGTCATCCATGTCACCCATCTCTTCGCGTGAGTACACCACCCCTCAAAGACTGGGCAATTTATTTTTTATTTATGTTGAATTAATAAGTGTGTGATGAATTATATTTTATGTTTATACCTTTTTGTTTGTCATATATTGAAATTTTTAATGATTGATTTCTGATTATGCATATAAGTGCTTTCTTGCTCCTTCTTGAGGTAAGTGTGCTTGATGTATAGCAGATTTCAGAAAGTGTTTTAATGAGAACAGTTAATCAACTCCAATCTTCGCTCAGCTTGAAAATTGTAAGGTAATACAGCGTACTGTACCTGAACTTCAAGGCTTTCATTTGCAAACTGTTGGATAGAGGTTGTAAGGACGAATTTTAAACTTTCTTGTTTATCTGCTGATTAATTAGTGACATGACATTGCTGATCATTGAAAAATAATTTATTAAAAAATACCATATAGATATTTGGTACCGTGAGAAAAAGAAATGCTGTAGCAGAACACATCTATTATAGAGCCAAGATTGAATGAATGACAAATTGAAGGGAGAGTATGTGTGTATGTGTGTGTTTTATCTTTATTTTGGCCATCCTGTATTGTAATGTAGTGGGAAAAGGCTTGAAAATGTTGGGGTTCAAGATCTGTTTGGTTTTCAATACCTTTATTACATTGATTTTCTAAATGTCCCACAGTAGGTAAGAATAAATAGCATTGTAATCAATTGATAGTTTAAGCTCTCCAATACATTATTGTGGTGTGGCTGGCAGTAGCATGTTAGGTAAGAAAACATGGTTTATTTTCTAGATACTGTATTTGGAAAGTATGAATTACAGAATGATTGCAGGTTAGTTGAAGTTGATAAATTAAAGAAGGAACTTAGCTCTGTATATAACATAAACAGATATATTATGTAGAAATTAAACTGAATCAAGTTGCATAAAGTAAATCCCTGTAAGAAAAACAGAAGACAATTACAGTACTGCTGTACAGTCATCCCTTGGTTATCACGCCTAATTGAGACCGCGCCGAGTGCGTAACGAAAAACGCAATGACGAAAGTACAGAACCTATGGGATTTATTCTAATTGGTTCCAGGCACCCAAGACCCAACCCCAATTTTCCCATTTTATGACCATTTAGACCCACTAAAGATATAGATAATGTTATGGTAAATATCAGAAAAACACATAGGCATGGCTAGGTTTATTACAAAGTGATGAAAAGGGTACGCTCAATACTGTAGTCCACAAAACATGTAGCTATGCTTTCTTTATTTGAGTCCCCTGTCTGAGGAGTCCGTTTTCTCATTGCTTCAGAACGCCTGAGTCCTCCGTTTTCTCTCAATCTTAGAGTGCATCTGAGACTTCGTTATTCCTTAGTAATGACACAGAATTTGAAATTGCAACTGGGGTTGCAAATGTTGAGGCAACTTAGATATGTCTGATTACAGCAAATGTGTTATTGTCAATGTGTAGGTGAAAGATTTTATCCTCAATAGATATAGGTGAAACAAATGGGTAGAAACACCTGGAGGCAACTGTGTGATAACGAAATTCTCAGCTTGAAAATGCGCTATAACAGCAGGTGTGCAGATTTTGATGGAGGCGTGATAACGAAAATCGCGATAACCAAGTGCGCTATAACCAAGGGATGACTGTATTGTATTTTAGAACATCACCATCTTGTAAAGCTTTTCAGAGTACAGTATTTTAAAACATTTTGCAAAACCTTAATAAAATGCGTTAGTAAAATAATTTGTAACACTCATGTTGCTATGCCTGAAAAGAAAAAAAGAAAGCTAAAATTTTGATATACATAATAGAATTTAAAAATCATATACAGTACAGTATACTTTACTGTATACAGTATATACAGCACATTCAGCAGGCCTGGTTTGACTTTTGCTTAGCTTCATGGTATCCAAACCAACTACTTGTTTGGTGTATCCCACAGAATTCTTGCCCAAATCAAAAAATTCTTCAGGATTTAACATGCAGAATTGTATGTACTGTACCAATTCTGTATTGTAGCAAGCAAAACAAAATCATATTAACCCTTCTAGGTCACTTAAAAATAATATTGTAGTGAAATCTGGGTATTATGACTTGATAAGAGACCAACTAGTTTTAATGAATAGTCTTGTTATGTCCAAAAATTTTAAAGATGAACATTTCAATATATTTCTGCAACTTGGGGTAATAATCACAGATGTAGTGCCAGGGTTAGTTTTTCCGATGTTTGCTGATGTTATACTTGATTGTTCTCAGTAATACAGTACGTAGTTTAATATGAATTGCAAAAGCCTGTTTTGTTTGAAAATACGCTTTCTCAGATGCATGATCTTTAGCCTGATTCTGCTTTGCATGTTTGTATATGTTTAGAGCTTTTCCACCAAGCTTTACTTTCACCAGCAGAAAGTAGTAAGGGGGCATGATCCTTGCTATGGCTTCGTAAGTAAATGAGGCCTCAGTGGAGAACGTTTTTCATCTTCTCTTTTGAAAACTTAATTTCAATCCTGGTGATGGGACGCTCCAGAGATATTAAAAGCTAAAATTCTTACACTAGGCTGGCAAATTCTTCTATAGTAAACCAGCTTTGTCTTTCTTGATGTTGGCTATTCAGTTCTCCACTGTGGTCAGTTTCGGTGTCATACCGACAATGTTCTGAACCTTGTGCGTTCCTGTTTTGTCTGTTCAGCCCCCACTCCTGCTAGTAAGGAGTCGCGACGGAGGGTGCGTTCTAGGTCGAAGTCTCCATTCCGCTCTTTCCGCTGGAAGAAATCCAAGTCTTCTCCATCCGAAGCACCGGGTAGTGCATCTGACGATGAATCGAATCTGGAGAGGGCAGCAGGTAATTGTGATTCAAGAAGAGGTGCACTGCAGACTTTTTTTTTATTCTATTACCTAGTATATTTATATATGCTTAGGTTGACTTATATTGCAGTGATGGAGTTCCATTCAGTGTTAGGTTTCCATGCTACTTTGGAAAGATTTTTGCAATGAACTGAAATGGGATTACCATTAAAAATTTTAGACTCAGTTTAGATGAGTGAATGGTTGGATGAGGAAAGACTGACAAACTTGGTTATCTACAATAAGCTATGGCTTGGCAGTAACCAACTTTTGTGTGCATTTCATCCGATCCTCCAAAGATAAAATTCTCAGATCATCGTATGGCATACTGGTAGATGTCATATAAGGCTGAGTTCATGTTATCTTTCCTAACATGCAGCCCCAAAACACCCACCTTCAGTGGCCCCCACTACAACTGCTACCACGGCAGCGGCCCCCACAACCCCAGCCCCAGCCAAAGAAGGTATGGTTGGGACCATTTCAATAATCATCCAGTTTTTACCCAAATTTTAACTTATATGCTCTTTGTTTTGTGGGCACATTGTTATTGTCTGAATAGCTTATGCAAGTAAATTTAGTTTATTGTGATAATTTCTCAGACCATTTTGATTGTTATATGATTTGTTACTATGTATGCACAATGCTGACTTGCATCTCACCTATCCCCTTTTAAGTTTGATAACGAGTCCCGTCATCCATTTAAATCACAAGCTTTTAGTATTAGCATAAAAAAAGAATGATTAGCTGTGCAATAAATTCCCAATAATTTATATAATTAAGATACTCCAAAGGCTTATCATAATTGGAGTACTTTGAGTATTTTGAAGTGGTTGAAGAAGACATTTTTGTGTTTGGGTCTATATGTTGGTTGTGAACTGTAGTGCAGTATGTTGTGGAGATTCTGTTCTGTCAGATAGTGTACATTATAGTTTCTAGGATTATCAGTATGTTTTTGGTTGATTACTCATGTGCTTTATGTCATGTATGGGATGATTTATAGCTAGTATGTAAGTGTCTTTAAAATTTGCCTTTGACATGTTTTAGAATGTATAAAGTTAATACTTCCAATATATTCCTAAATTTTTTTGTACCTAATATGCATGAAACAAATATGCATGATTCTCATCCTGGATGTTATTTTAAGTTTCAACATGATTATATTGGGCTTATTTGTGCATTCATTTTAATAATTTAATTTTTTAATTTGTTTTGTGTTATGTATAGTTGTAACTAACTGAAGTTAATTCCAAATCTTGTAAATATTACTTAGTGTATTGTATTCTACATATTGCTGAAGTATATTTATCCTCCAATAAAAACAAAATACTGTAGTGAGACTTATTAAGGTATTACGAACCTGTCTTTTCAATAATTGTGTGTTTGATACAGAACGACCAAGCCCCAGTGGAGATGAAGATCAGCTTGAAGGCAGTTTGGTGCGTAAACATGAATGGGAGTCCACCACAAAGAAGGCTTCTAACCGGTGAGTACAGTACCGGTGCATACAAGTGTTGACCATTATTTGATGGGGTCAGGGTCCTCCATATTAATAACTTAGGGGGAAAATAGTTTCAATTCCTGAGACCCTGAAGAGTCAGAGTTAGCATTCACAGCGGTTATATTTCAACTTGTAATTTCGGGCAGGCATATGATTTTTTGTTACTCTGTTACATGAACACACAATGTTTCATACAGAAGATGCAAAAAAAAATATAATAAATAATTATTATAAGGGTAAAAACATAAAGGGAATAAACATCTCTTATGTGTGCAGGATTTATTACAGAGGGGGTAGTCATTCATAATTTTCTTAATTTTCTATTTACTTATTTTTTAATTACATGCACACAGTCTTTCATACAGAATGTGCAAAAATACATATATAAGGTTAAAAATATTGAGGGAACAAACATTTCTTACATGTGTGGGTATCTCAACTTGCTATCTCTTGTCCAGTTTCTAGTGATAAGATTGCCAAATGGCAACTTGGTATTTTTTTTTTTATTATTATTATTTTTATTTATTCCACACATTTACTGGTACAGTACCTTAAGGTGGGGTAATTGGGCCACCACAAGGGTAACTGGCCCCTATTGGAAATGTTTTCTTTTAAAGTCCTGAAAGTGAGGCAACTTTTTCATATTCTGAAACAAGTGGTTTTCCCTTGATAGTTTGAGGATGATAAATATTTAAAAGAGATTTATTTACTAAAAGTTGTTATACTAGTTCACATTGGTTCTCTGTGTATATATGTGTATACAGTAAAGGCATACAAACAATGATAGAACATTCTACTTAGTATAGCCCATGTCTACAAGGTTACAGTGTATTTGGAGATGGACGGAAGTGAGCAAAATCCTCTTATACACTATCTGTTTTGGACTGCTAAATTAAATACTTTATGTAGACCAATAAAACAGTGTACGACATAACTTTTCCCCACACATTTCAGTCAGTTTTGGGTGCAGTGATAACCCACTTAGTGCTTAGTATATGTTCCTGGGAAAGAGCGCTAAATGAATCAGCACTAATATGTAGATGGAGTTATATTCCTAAAGTTGTTACACTTAACCTATGGTAGGCTTATAAATGCTCCATTTGGGTATTGATAACCACATTGCTACAGTATTTAAGTATTTATTTAACTAAATGAATGCATGTAATCATGCCTTGTAATGATGGCATCAATCCTTGGATGAGAGGCACTGGATAGGCGAGACGTAGATGATATCAAACATCTTTCCTCTGGGTGAGGCAAATCCATCTCATCATCACTGAAAGGAGTAGAGAAGGCAGCCTTTAATGAGAAGAGAGGTGGTAGTGACAAAGAGGTGACCATATGTTCCAAAACACACTTGCCCTAATTTTATAAAAAAAAAATACCAATGACATGCTAATTTTGCCTCCTGAATAATTCCTGCCAGCTCTACAGCAAGAATATTGTGATATCTCAATTTTTTACCTGAATTATCATATCCACCTGCATACTGGACTTTAGGAGTACTCATAAATGAGAAGTAAAATATTGTTTGGATGTAGAAGGGTGACTCAGATAATTTTAAATGTGAATTACAAAAGTACTAGCATGCCCTTTCCTCTTAACTCCTTGGGTATGAGGGCTTTTTCTGTGCTGAAGAAAATTGTCTAAATGAAATATTAAAAGTGGTATCCAGTAGTAAAAGGGTTAATACCACCTGATGTAGTACTGTAGCATCTATATAAATTTTCTTTCTCCTTTGCTCAAAGTTCTGTAGGGTATAACAAAATATTTTGACAATACAAAATACCTGTACCCTGCACTGTAAACATTTGTCATCAAGTGGTGTATTTACTGCAATTTAATTTTTCTGGGCCACTGCACAGTAACAGAGTTTCACAGGAATAATGAAGAATGGGCGTAATTTAGGGTGCTATTTTATGTCGAAAGAGAAGTGCAGTACTGAATCACGCTATATCAAGTGTCTACTGTAGTCATTGACAGAAAGGGTTCCTACTTTTATCTCACAATAATGTCTCTGTTGATAATCCTGGTCATGACATTGAAACAGCAGATTGTTGCCTTGAAATTAGGAATATTTGGTATCTTGTTGAGATTAGGGTAAGATTTATATAGGGGAAAATTTATATAGGCCACCATCAGGGATGGGGTCAATTATGAATTGAATTGGAATTGATTGGAATTGGAATTGAAGTAACCATTTTTTAAAATGAATTGAATTGGAGTTGATGTGAATTGATGTTATATGAAAATAATAAAATGTGTTTTTTGATGTGACTATTGTATTGTTGATAAAGTACTGTACAGTATTTTTTCAAAGTTTGTTAAACATTTTTAATGTTGGAAACCAGTTTCACATTGAATGTTTTGAAGTACTGTACAGTAACAAGGTTCAGTACAATGTTTAATGTGATAATCCAGTTTGACACATTTAATATCTTGCCAACTAAATTTGGATTAATATCAGTCAAGTTGCCAAACATGAAAACTATTAGAAAAGGCCAGAGAGGTGCAACCTGAACAATAGCCATTTTGATCAGGTATAATCCTCAGTAGTCTGGAGTCTGGACTGTGTAGTAGTGAATAATGATCAAGATATAAATGATGTGCTCAATTGTGTGAGTTAACATAATTTGTTAGTGTATACTGTAGTAGACAGTAGTGCATGTTGTCAACTTGTATGGAAATATTTTTTTTTATTTAACTTTGTTTTTTAAATATGAAAATTAAATTATTAAATTGAATTGGAATTGAATAGCAATTGAATTGAATTAGAACTGATGATGATGTCGTTTTCATAAATTAATTTGAATTGAATTGGAATTGATAATTTTTTTTTTTTGTTGGAATTGGATTTTAATTGGGATTGACAAAATAGAACTGACCCCATCCCTGGCCACCATAGTACAGTATGTCATACCTTTTTTTCTCATTTTCTTTCCAGTTCTTGGGACAAAGTGTTCCTGGTGCTGCGTGCAAACATGTTGTTGTTCTACAAAGATCGCAAGAGCTACCAGGCTGCTCCTGAAGTATACTTCAGGGCTGAGGCTCCATGTGATGTTTCAGGTGGACAAGCATCAATTGCAGATGACTACACTAAGAAGAAGAATGTCCTGCGACTCAAGTAAGTTGATGCGTAGTGCTGTAAGATGATTTCCTTTGTTACTTTTATCTTGTCAATATTAATTATCAGTTTAAAATAAATAATTGAGTATGGATGTGTTGACTCTCTAGGGTGAGATAGAAAGGAAGGAGTGAAATATGTTAATAACTTATGTATAAATCAAGTACTATAGAATGTGTTTAATATGAAGTTGTTGGTAGCTAGTGGGTGGTGTAGCAGAGGTGCAACTTGCCTCTGAGATGATTCCAGAAACCAGACACTACATGTTTCCCATAGTGTGATTATTTCCCCAAGATTTACAATTCTCACAAAACCCCTTTTCTCTCCCAGACTGAGGACAGCATTTAACCATGTTTTCTTTGATTCACAAGTCACCCAAAAGTTAAGCATCTCCAGATTTCTTTCCTTGGCCATGATTGGAGGTGACTATTTGTTACCCATTGTATCTGTCATATTTTGTGTGTGTGATGCTACATATGTTGCACGGGATTCATTGTTATCTTTTGTCTCCAATTTAACTTCAAAAATCATCTCTTTTGATTTCTTTTAAATCAGAGTAAGAATGGACATGTTTTATATCAAAATTTAATTTTTTTATCTTAAAGTAAAGAAATACAGTAGTTATATAGAAGAAAACTATTTTAACTTATTTACTCTTATGACTACAGTACTGTATTGTCATTTTAATGTTAAAAATATTGGTAAAATTTAGCCAAAAATGGATGCTCTAAAAATCTTATTCAACCTTAATTTTATAAAAAAAAAATACTATATATCTGATGACCAACTTGATGACTTTGCTAAATGATTTATTTCAGTTGTGGGAGTGGTTGCCTGCAGATAAACATATTAAGAATTTTGTTTTAAAGTCATTCATAGATTAATTTACTTATTAGATCTCCTTCTCTATTTTATCTGCATGCATATAGAACAAAAAAGCGGGGGTAAGTTAAACACTTGAAAATGATTCATGATACAATATTGATTGTGCAGTATTGAAGTGAATACAATTAAGAACAAAATTTTTTTGTTTGAAAGAGATGGGTAATCTCTGTGCAATATTAGATTGAATGGGAAAGTGTTGGAAGTGAAAGATATATTCAGATACTTCAGGTCAATATTTAACATAATAAACATATAGTGAATTAGGAAAAGATAAACATAATAAACATAAAGACTTAACACAACAAAAAATTTATTCATGATGCACTTCTCATTCAGTGAATTGAATCTTTTTCTGTAGATTGCTTGGTGGTGCTGAGTACTTGTTCCAAGCCAAAGATGAAGAAGAGTTGGGAGTTTGGGTTGGAGCTCTCCAAGCAGCTACGACCTCAGAAGGATCAGCTGGTCCTTCCCGTTCCCAAACTCTCCCGGCAGGCTCTGAGAAGAAGGATGAACCCAAACGACGCAGCTTCTTCACCCTCAAGAAGAAATAATAGAGTGGATGTCCATATCTGTACACTCTCCCTATTCCTTTTCTTCTTTTCTCAGCCTACACTTTCCTTTCTTTCTTCATTCTTCATTTCCTTTCCCAAGTCTCCTTTAGCAATATCTTAAGACTATTCCAAGCCCAATTTCAGACCCAGTGTGGAATAAACATGGGAGTTGGAATGCTAGTGCTGGTCTGGGCTTGTATTATTGGCTGCTGTTTTATTGCTACTGGGATTGGAACAGAAATCGAATTTGCTTTGGCATCATCAGCTTCTCTTTATGCAATGTTTCCCAGGCTGGGTCTGAACAGCAGCATCATGAAATCATGTTCATTTTCGTACATCCAATTTTTATTCCCCTAACTTGAATTACATTAATGATACCACAATTGGTATTATATTTTCCCATGGAATATAAAGTGTTGATAGTTTTGTGTAATAGCTCTGGTGGAAGAATATGTGAGTCTGTGCAGTTCCCAAATGTTGTCTGCCTAGCACTGCCATGGCTGAGTTTTCCGATGAGTGTTCCTCTTTTTGTAGGGGATTGTGTGTGGAATTGTATATTTAGTGTTATGTCAGATGTCCCTTACTTTATGAAAGTAATGATTTGTTAATTTTATCTGTCTTTAGCTGTAGTACCACAGTTTTGATTAGATAGCACTTAATTGTATTGTACAGAAATGATAGAATGATACCTATTATGCTGCTTTATGCTTACATTTTTAGACATATAATATTTCATGTACCACTTCATAGTTGTTCAAATCATTACCAGAGTATGGAAGGCCAGCCAGTATCATAATTTTTGTGAATGGGCAAATTCATTCTGCTTCAAAGTGTAGGTGTGGCACAGTTATATTCCTTTATATTCTTGAAAATTTTCAACCTCATCTGGTCTTATCCTACAAAACCAAGTTCACCATCTCTACATCAGCAATGAATTGAAGACTCCAGGAATTGCTCTTGGACCAGCCACCTTCTACCAGATGGCCAGTTTTCTCATGTGGTCAAGATGAACACGGTATGGCTTGCCCTCACTGTGCTTGATTTTGTGCTTTAATTAATGTCTAATTACAGGCTGACCAGTTAACTGCTGGAATCTCTTGTTTAGAAATTATCCAATGTTTAACCAAAAGCAATTAATTGGGAATAAATACCTATACTTTCTAGTCAGGGAACTGAATGTTTGTTCATTTATAAAGTTATTCTCAGTGTCATATACTTTAGTGTATATGTTTCCCAGATAGGGTTGAGATACTTAAAGAGCCATCCCTTAGATGAGGGTAAAGCCGAGATGTTGTGTTTTAATGTTTGTTCCTGATTTGTGTTTTACTGAGTGTTCCCTTCATATATCCCAATTAGAATTTTACAAGAGCTCCAGCAGCAATTACCGGCAGCAGTGTGGTGACTAACAACAGTTTTATGCATTGTTCCACAAGCTAGACATCTATCAGTCATCTACCACTAACTTTTTAATGGAGGGATGTTAGATACGTGCTTACTAGCTTTATAGCTGTAGGGTAAGGTTTCTGGCTAAATTGACTTGAGAGAGGTAATCTTAATTGTTACAGATAAAAGTGACCACTGTATATCATATATTGTGACACTTAAATAAAATGGTTTAAGCTATGAGTTGCATTTTCATTGATACTAACAACAGATTCAGCTTTACTCTTAACTAATCTTTTTATTTGTAGATTACATTTTTATGAGGTGTATACATCCAAACCTTTTAAATACTTCGGTGAACCTTTGTTCCGTAATCCTTATTGCATTATGTTTTAAGTCCTGCAGACTTCTCACTTGATACACCTCTTATTTATGTAATCCATCACTGTTATGTCAGCTTAATTTATCTGTTCCTTGATAGTCAGCTTCTAAATTATTTTCTCTGTAAGGCTTTGTGTTTGGATATTTGCATTACCCCAGATTTATTTCACTTTCTTATAAATTTTAGGTTCCTACAAAGTAAGGAAGATATCTTTGTCCAGAGGTGAATAATAAAAACAGCATTTGTTGTGGTGAAGAACAGCTGCAGTAAACTGTATGTTTGTGCAAGCATTACTGTAGTTAATTTGTGTGTGGTTATATTAAGAGATGCTCAATGAATCTTGTTTGAATTATTTTGGTAATTATATACAATTTCTGATTTTTTTTAGGTTTTCCTGCCAACTAGCTTGAAATAGATTTATGAAAAGCAATATTGTCCTATTTTTTTCTGTCTTTACCATCAAGATGCTGTGTGTCTTATTTTTTAAAAGTTTAGTTCCTTGCATTTTTATTTTTCCAATATTAGTTCTTGACACTTAAATTTGTTGATTCAGTGACCACACAATTCCACTGTTTTTAAACATTCTCTTGTAAGCTTTCACACTTTTTTCTGGCTACTTTTGTGTCTTCATAATTTCTCAATTCTGCTTTGAACTGAACTTCTGTTCGATATGTCATCAACCCCCTTTTTATTTGTTATCATGCTTTTGGCTTTATACATACTGTAAATGATGTTATAAGAAAAAAAATCTTTCAGATTCTTAAGTTTTGTATTGCCATCTCTTGTGCTTTATCTTCCCCCTTTATATAAAACTTTTGGAACTTCACAAGATGACAGCTGCTCCTTTCTCATGTGAATATCTTTGCATACACTTTGGGTTAAAGCATATATTACTTTTAACATTCTCTCATTTCATTTATTGTTAATATTACTTCAAAAAGTTACTCTAGTTTGTGCTTATATTGTCATCCTAATTTTTTTCTTCCCATTTTGATATACTGTACAGCATTCTGAATCATTGTATCATCCTTACATAATGCTGTACAATATATTATTCTTTAGTTTTATTGTGTTGTACAAAGGTTGCCTCATTAAAGTGTGCATTACCAGTATATTCTCCAGCTGTAAATGGGTACCTAAGTTTACAACTTGAGGAAGTGAATGAGGTCGAGTGCAGTACTGGCCATGCTGCCTTCTTGTGTACTGAAGGCTTAGTGTGTGCAGTGTGGTGTATCCACACTGTCCCTAACAGACAGTCTTGCCTATGGAACCCACCTACTTTTCCACCAGTATATTTCAGTGTTCACCATTTAATTCCAATCAAACTTTGGTGGTTAAAAATACTGCAATATAAAATCTTATTGTTTCAGTTAATTTTTCACAACATTAGAATTCAAGAATGAATTACACATAATAGTTTGTTTTGTGAAGTGATGAACAAGTTTGTCCATAAGTGGTATTGTTCAGGTATTTTGTAATACCTCCTGTATGTATAAGAGTTAATGCTTGCTGTAAATTTCCCTGTTTTTAGTTCTCTCACCAACATGTTGTCATCCTAATCATGTATTGTATTTTCAAATTTTAATATCTTCTCACATCTTATAATTCACATCATGTTTTGCATAAAACTTCTTATTTATTATATTAATGACAAATTAAACAAATGTTTATTCATAAATTATCATAGTATGTCATGCTTTTCATTGTTAGTTTATTGCACTGTTTCTCTGTGGACTCACATTTGAATTTTTCTCACTCATTTATCCACATCCAGTTAGATTAAATCAAATCCTGCCGTTACTTTTCTTTTTCACACATGGCTAACCATCTCTTTGCTGTAACTTTCTAAATACAATTCATCTGTAATAATTGTTAATCTTTTCTAATACTGTACAGTATATTAAAGCGAGTGGGTACTGCATATGGAAATTGGTTCCGTAATACTATATTAAGCTTTCTAATTAACTAGTTCTTGAATGGTGAGCATGGTGTAATTTCTGCAGTGAATAGAATGAACTTGCACAGAACATAATGCATTTAGAATAAAAAGAATTTAATTTCATGCATTGACAAAGAATGCGAGACATTTGATGTTAGTTTAGTAAAGCGTATTTGGAACACTTAAATATCATAGACCTAATGAAACTTAACAGTGAACCTGAAGTACTAAGGAAGCACATTACAACAGGGGGTCCTCATTTACGAGTTAATAAGAATCCGAAAAAAGACTTAATAGTGATACATGGATAAAGGGGACTCAATTCCCTTATGAATGAATAGGAATAGAATCTAATTGGGACCATCACATTGCAAATGACATTCAAAAAGTTTGATTTGATATCTTTTAACATTTATATACTGTACCTTAGAAACATTGGATTACACATCACAGTATTTTATGAAATTATTTAACTGTATAACTTATCTAAGGTACTTAAAGTAGCTTGGGTTTGGTGTGTTGACATGCCACAGGCAACCTAACCACGCGGTCAGCCAACTGTGCACGCATGCATTCGAACACTCATTTCAGTGAAAGTGGGTCATTGAGAGACATTATTAAAATAAGAATAAAATAAAAGTAAACACGAAAATAAATATAAATAACGAGGAATAATATCTGTGGAGATGGCATGTAATTGCGTAACTTGAGTCGCCACTCACCTGCCAGTAGCACCCGGAGCAGGTGAGGCCGTGATATTTTTCAACTCCTATTATCAGGTAGATAGTCTGTACTTAATTTTTTTTCATTCACTTTTGTTCTGTTACATGTACAAGCAATTGTTCATAAAGAATGTGCAAAAATAATACAAAATAATACAAAATAATTATCATGAGGTCAAAAACATAAGATAATAAACATTTCGGCAATTGGGCCATAGAGCAGGGAAGAGGGAGCGGCTGGGGGATCTTTCAGCTGTTTGGTGTCCTATGAAATGATTACTGTACCAATTTGGCATCGAAGGATTTTATTTAATTTTATTTATTCCCCAAATTTACTGGGACAGTATACTTGCAATGCAGTTCGTCTGGGCAGTCACCAAGCTGACTCAAGAGATGTGTGCGGCTGCTGCCTGTATGCCGTGATGTCGCATAGAGTGGAGGGAGAGTGTGGCTGGCCATAGTTAAAGCTCACACTCTTAATACATACATTCACTTCCCAATCAAACACATACAGGGATACCTGTACACCACTTTGTTTCTGTTTGGAACTTATGGTTGCTACAAATTAACAAAAAATTCTTGGAACACTTTCAAAACAAGGTTTGGGGATGTGGGCGGATGTTAGTGCGCATGGGTGGCGCAGGTGAGAAAGATGAACTTGAGAGAATGGGAGGCAGGCGGGAATTTCAAACGCTTATGATCTCGACTGACGGATTTCATCTGTGGAATTCTCATACGTTGTAGAAATTTTTACATATAGATCTACAAAATTTTGGGCTCATTACTGAGGTTACACGAATAATGAATATTTGAATAACGAGGACCCCCTTATACACATTGAACAAGGTGTATGTAGCCATGGAAATAAAAACCGGAAATTCAAAACTTTTAAGGTAAAATTTCCTTGACTTTAAAATAAGTCCGTAAATATTTGCACTTTTGTAAGTTATACAAAAAGTACATTAGAATTATGAGTTAAGGATTTTTAGTAAATTTAATTTTCTGCTTTGCTGGTCATTTATGAAAAAAGAAATACAAACCATCTTCAAGACATTGTTGAATAGTAAACAGCATTTGTTGCAAATGGTTAGTTTGTAGGATACTTTATCATTTTTATGAAATTATTTTATATTCGGTATTTTGTAAGACTACGGTAATTTATTAAGTTTTGAACAAAAAGATTTAAAGATTGTGTAGTTGAGCCTACTGATGATTCATTCAATGATAAATATGAAAGATTTTTTGCCACGAGTATAGTTGTAAAGAAAATATAAAAAAGCAAAGGGTGTTTATTGATATTGACCAATTGTGTAAAAAGGCAGTGCAGAAGGATAATGGATTTCTTTATCATATATAATGTGGTTTGGAAGAAGAGTTAATAAGAATAGTGAGGAATGTAAAACAAAAAAATTATGGATCAAAATTAACAGCAGATTAATACTGCTGCTTTTCAAGTTATGAGAGGGACAATGGACTGATTATTGTTGCAAAATGTACAACGAAAGACAAAATTTGTCGTGAAATTTGGTGAAAACATATGCCGAAGGGCTAAAACTTTTGGTGCGCTCTGCCTTGTGGTACGGGGCTCTCATAATGTTTAACGAGTTATATTTAATCTTCGGCCAAAACCGCGCCACTACTTTTGTTTTTGATTGTACATCTGTCTTGAAGAGAGGCAAGAGCAGTTATGGGATGCAATTAAATTATTGGTATACGATAAAAGTAAAAAGTGTTGGGGCTTGCTTATGGTGCTAAATGAGTAGTAGATGGGACGTTGATGAAGTCGAGTTAGGAACAGATTTTAATTGTAAATAAACGCACAAGGATTTCATTTTAATAAAGGTGAGTTGGATTGCATTTGTATGTGAAGTGGGGGGGAAGTGGTGTCCTTGAAGAGAATATATCATGAATTTGGACAAGTAAGGAAATTAATGAATCGGTGGATTAGAAAAGGAAACAAGATTGATGCTTAATGGCACCATGATTTTATAATACCTTCATTGTTGAACAGGTGAAGTTTTTAGCTGTTAACATAGATAAAGAGGAAGAGATGTAAACAGATACAGTACTACAGTATTAATAGATAAATCAGTAAAAGACAGGACACAGACAACTGTGAACATATTTGATTATTAGGAATTGAAAATGCATGCTGGAAAAGGTTGGTTTGTAGTGCTTGATAAAGGGACTCCCTGCAAGATACGGTGTAATGATGATAAGTTTGAGAGCATGCAGTACACCAATACCTAATTATATACTGTACAAATTTTCTGTGAACTGTTTTAGCCAGCACACTCAAAATCATGTTCCCATTTATTCTAGGTTGGGAGGTGAGCTTCCTTGTTCCCCTGGCTCTTGGTAGCAGGTGGTTGCTGGAATGGGAGTTCCACTACAGTATATACTTTACTGTACTGCACTGTACAATGAAGTTTACAAGCCGTGACTGCAAGTGTAGATTTCCTGGCTGCCTCCCTTCATTTTTTATATACTGATATTTGGATTTATGAGCTAAAAAGTTAACTAGGTCAGCATGATGCAACAAGATGATTTTCTGGTTAATGCCCTGTCTTCTTGTTCTTCATAATACAGTGCTGCCAATTTGGGTATTTTGTGTCCTTTGACAATCCAAGGTCATTGATACTGCACTGGAATATTAACCTTAATGGGTACACTGATCATTGTCACCTGAACAAATTTTCACAGTAACAAATGTCACCCATTCTAGCATACGGAGTAGCTTGAACTCTATTGGATTGGTAAATATTGCCAAACAAACCTAAAAAAAATTAAACATACTGGTAGGCATAATTTCAGCTCAAATAGCTGGTACTACTAAGAACTAGAGTAATTCTTCATGTATTAGAACTGGAATTGAACACTTAGTTTTGTTAATGTATAAAAGCAGCCTAAGGTAGAGAGAGTATTGAGGCATTAGTTTTCATTGGTATAGGGCTAGGAGCTGGATCATAGATGTTTGGGCCATGAACAATATTATCTGGTAGGAAGTGTGGTTATTGTAAGCTTGTACTTGATATCCCTGTTTTAAACAAAAGGGTATAATGAAGAGGTGGGGATGATTGGATACATGCCTATTTAAGTTATGCATTACCCTTGACTGAATGATTGCCAGTTTTTTAAGGACACAACTGATCCAATAGGCAGCCTTTATTAAGAGTACGGTAACAATGTGGCTACAAGGCCAGCCAGAAGAAGGGATTTAAGAATCAAATCTCCATTTTTGCAAAGGCAAAGGACAAACATTATTCTGTAATATATGATGTTAAAATATGTACAGGTTACTATAAGTGAGGGCAATATATACAGTACGATGGTCTATGATGCCTGTAAAAGCTTAATTGCTTTAATTTTTTATTTATGGATGAACATGTTGAGGTTAATTTCTTAAATACTTACTCTTTTATACATTCATAATCTGCAGATTATTATTTTTTTCTACAGACTATCTTAGCTTATAATTTCAAAAGACTTAATTTTACACAAAATTTAGTTTTATTCACATTTAGAAAAAAATTATGTTCAAGATTTCTCTCCTTTCTCATTCTATATTTTGAACATACTGTACTGTATTTCAGGCATTAAATAATTTACAATTTCTTAGCTTTTTCATAATTTTCTTTTTACTTTTCCTATTTACTATATAAGGGAAAGGAATACTATTCATGTGTTGTACTCTCCTCAGAAATAAATAATGCCGTTTGTTGTTATTTTGATTCATCACCACCTCTATAGTTGTAGAGACAAACCATTGCCAGAGTTCTCTTTGGTAAACTCTTCTGAAGTTTGTAATTGTTTCAAGTGATATGATTAATAATATTACACACAATGCAACTCGAGAGACCCATCTTCATGATATTATTCCTCAAATGCCCGGGTGACGTTCCTCTACGTCCACCATAGCGACCCCGGGTGACGTTCCTCTACGTCCTTAATTTTTGTGGCATAGTTTGAATGTCCAGGTGGGACGAAGTACTTTATATAGGATATTTACAGTATTTTAGTAAGTAGTAGGTAATAGGCAGCTATTAAACAGGAAGGTACTACCGCCTGGGAAGATATTGGAAGCATAATGTGTTGTCTAATGGTAGACCCTGCTGCCATATGGCATCACGAAAATTGTGACAAAGTCCCAGGTTGCTGATCTAGCTTTCTGCCACATTTACACCCAATTGCAGGGTTTCAATTGTTTCTCATACTTTGACACACAACATACATACTACAGTATATTGTTTTGCACTTGATTTTTTTTCATTTTTTATTTCTATATGGCTCCTTATTATTACAGCGTTGTTATTATTATTATTATTATTGTTATCTTTATTATATACTGTAATTTTTAATTTTTATTATAATTTTATTTACGGTGAATAATTATTATTACGACTATTATTATTATTTTAATTATTATTATTATTATTATTACTATTACTACATTTTCGCCCCCCCAGGCCCCAATGTGGGTTAGTGACCTTTGCCCGGGTGGGCTAATCCCCATAAAAAAAAAAAGGCAATCCAACTTACTTGTAATCTTTGTCTCAAGTCTAGTGGTCCAGTTACCCACCAGCTATCATGAAGGATGCACATCCTTCAACGTCTCGTGACCTACCTCGCTCCTCCACACCTTCGTCAGTAATATTATTCATCAAGAGTTGCTTGTTTTGAGTGGCATTGATAAAGAGCACATCCAGGGGGGATCCCCTCCTTTTCATCAGAAAATTTCAATACATCCACTTTAATGCAGTATTGTACTCCGGCATTTTTGTATCGTAAAATGTAATTACTATTGACTTCAGAATATCTCCTAATATCAAGTGCACTTGGCTTCAAAATGGCCTTAAAATGCTCATTATATAGGTCAGTTTTAAAACCTTTTTCTGGAGGGCTTACAGCGCACTCCCCCAAACCCCCCAGCTGGGTGGGCTCTCTGTGCTCACCATGTTCCCTCACCCATAACTTCTTGGACCCCTCCTTTTGATATTTCTGGATCCACCCCTGTTGATTAGTATTGGGTGACGAAGACAGTGATGGGAAAGAAACAGACCCAGATGATATTGAGTTTGTTGAGGTAGCCAGCAGTGAGGACAGTGATGCAGACAATGGAGCTCACACCCCTGCCAGCCACCTCCTCACCAAGGTCATGGTTATGGTGGGTGTGGACATTGGGGACCATGTGCATGCCAGCCACAACAGCACATTGAAGTGACTGCAGTAATTTTATGCCTGAAATACAGTATCATTTTTTTACTGGATTAAAAAAAATGCCTGCATGGGGGTTCTGGCGGGTCTTATGCTGCCTGGGGCAAAAGGGTTAAGAAACGGTGTTGATATTTTCAATTGAAAAGTACATTACAATGCTGAAACCCTGTTTAGAGCTAAGAAGACAGATAGGGTATTGGTGAGGTTTTGCTTACAGGAAGTCTGAGATGGCTTGGGCATATGGGGAGAAAGGAGTAGACCAACTGCATTAGTTTAAATGTGGAGGAAAGGAGAGCTAAATCTAAGCCAAGAATGACATGGATGGAGTTAAAAGCCTCATGAAAGAGACCACACAGCATGGAGAGCTGCCAGCAGGTAATCATAGCAAACAAAGCTATAATTATGTTTCTAGTCTTTACAACATATTTCTGTTAATATCTGGATATTAATATAGTTCTTTTCAAAAAGAAATAACAAACCAAAAAATTATAAAATCATTACAGCATTAAGTACATCTGATTCATACATTTTTAATACTGTGCTGCGTATTGCCACAGTATTTTGTGAAGTGAAGAAAGCCTTTTGTATTTTATAAGTTATCTTAAGGAAAATTTAGAATTAACAAATAATTCTGAATTTATATTAAGGAAGAGATTTAAGTAAAATACTGGAAATAACCTTGCTTCAAAATACACTTTTGATACCCTTTGAAATAAAACAAACCATTATTGAACTGTGTGATTTTAGTAGGAACAGATCACAGAGTAATAATGTACTGTACCATATACATTACATTAATACATGTATTATTATTTGACAACACACGAATATTTTGTACTAAAATTATAGTTCAGTGATGGTTTAATTCAACCAAGTGCTGGAGGCAGTGGCATTGAATTAGTAGTGCTATGCATAAGATAAAAAATATTGTATGCATCACAAGGTTCCAGTTTTGTAAATGACGAATAATATGATCTAGAGAAAAAAAATCGTCCTTCTATACCAATACTGTATTGAGGTGGCAGTAATGAACTTGCACTTTACCGCAAATTTGTTTTATAAACGTACTATCATGGACAAAAGTTCTCTCCCTCCCAATCTGAGCAGTATCGACCCCAAATGAGATCAAACAGCACACAGTCAGGGTGAGTCAGTTCGGAGACTCATTCCCGTGACTCAGTTTCACCACAGGGAGCGAACTTTTATCCACGATAGTACAGTATATTTTTCCTATAGGAGTTTCAGTAACTTATTGCTACACAAAACTATGAGTGATTGGTTGATTACAGTGACAAAATTAATTTGGGCTTTTATAAATAATGGTTGCCCCTCGTGTAACCTTAGCGCCGTTTAATTAAGAGTAAATTCAGCTACATCTGAAAATTTCAGTTGGCAACACTGAAGCATCTCATTAACTCAGTGCTCTACCAACTAGCGGGGAGTGTTGATGGTCGAGTGTTGTGTCACCTCGTTTTCGCTTAACTTGAGTTTATTTTAAGAAGGGATCAGTCACATAATAAACATGAAGGTTATACGAAAATCAAGTTATAATTTGATACAGCAAACAAACTGGAAGCTTAATAATTTTGATAAAACAGGTGGCCCAATCGTGACAATCAAAGTCTGTTGTAGTGAACTAACTATTTATTTGAGCTGTACAATTGTTTACTTATTGGTGTAGTTTTATATAAAAGTGTTTATTGAAAACATTACATATTTATGTGCATATTGAATATATGCATACGTGTGCAGTTTGACACCAACGCCACCTTTGGTAAGTAAACAACTTGTTTGTGCTTGTCAGTTTGAAGTGGATGGTGTCAAGTGAAGTTTACACTAAAAGTCAGTGTAACCAAAAATATCGTCATTTATTTGCTTGCGTCTGAGACATTTGTCATTCTTATGCAATATAAATAGAACTATAAACTGAAACAAGTCATTTAACTGTTACCGACTCGTGTCTGGTGCAGTGTGCTAGGTCGTTTGGTTCAAAGTTTCCAAAATTTCTCATTTATTATATTTCCATCTTACTGTCGTGTTAGATAAAATATACCCAATATATGTTTTCTGAAATTATAACTCATGCTAATTTACATACTTTTCCTGGTATTATTGCAGTTCCAGCCACCAACTCGGTTAGAGCATTTTGTGTGTGTGTGGGGGTTAACTAGGTAACCACTCATTTGCGACGGTGGAACAGTAGTTGGGGCTGAAACTGCAAATTTATCCCTTTCCGTTATTTCTAAGATCTGATTCAGTGAAACTTTCGAGGTAAATATTTCCTGTTGTTTTCTTGAGTTCATACTTTTTTTTTCTAATTTGCTAATCTCGATAAAAGTTACGGTTAAATTTGTTTCGTACAACCATGGTAATGTGATTCAGACCACCCACGCGCTACACACTCCTCCCTTGGCTAGGCGACGACTATGCTTACCTGCTGGGTATCATACTAAAAAGACCACCAAAGAAATGTTTGAAAACTTTACCTAACCCGAATTCCATGACTATGAAACTGAAATAATAAAGTTTTTGCATCTATAGGGTTAATTAAAAACTAGGATAAATTATTTATTTGTCTGAATAAGCATTACAATTTTAAACACTACAGAGATGTAAATAAGTTGCAGAAAAACCTTTCAATTTGTTTAGTTTTGCATTTAATTCTAAAATTATTATTTAGTACTTTCACTATATTTCAATAGTTAGCAAGAATCACTATCATTATTAGTTTATCCTCTTCGCCACTGATCGGGTTGGCTTGAGGGATTGGTGACATCTCGAGGCCGTCTCACACAAAAAGCTACTGTAAACTACGCACCTCATACACCATGTTCTCACACTAACATATAACCAAGCTGTTTATTTACTTATTTATTTTTTAATTTAGCTTCATCACTCAAGATGGCTTGTACAGTAGTGTTCCTTTGTGTGACGATTATTTAGACGATACGAATACTCTATTACTCTAATTTAGGATTAAATAAGAAGTGAAAGTGGGTGTGAGACAATACTAATAATTGGTGATACTGTAATAATAATAATAATAATAATAATAATAATAATAATAATAATACTAATATGGAAAATAATAATAATTTGGTTAAATCCATCGTTTAAAATGAAAGTTCATGTGATGGTGACATTCAGACAATAGTTTAGATTAAGCGTTGCTCAGTTCAAAGAAGTTTTGTTACCGGTACTAATATAAAATTATATTAAGAAAATGGATACAAAATACAGGAAAGCATAATCATACCTGCAAAGGCTTGCTATATGTTGGTATACTGTACTCACTTTACTGTACACTAGCTTGGCCCATCACTAAGGTTTATAGAATTCAATTCTCTAGTCAAACTTGCTTCAACCAGAAGTCTTTCTGTGTCACAGAAAGACTTCTGGTTGAAGCAAGTTACGTTACGTTTACTATTTGTTAGGTGACTGTAAAGTAGTTGCTTTGGCAGTCTACTGTCGTCCATGTGAGTAACATGGCCAGTCCAGTGTAGT